GAGAATTGTGTGTTGCTCCCTACGTGGGAGCTTGCGCTATTCCTGCCCACTTCAATTCTCACTTGACTGACCCACGACTGCCATGCGGAGCACACGAGAAGTCCATCGAACCTTCCACGAGTGGTGCTTTCTTGCAGGTTTGCCGAGCGGAAGGTTCGATGGACTTTTCGTGTGCTCCGGATGGCAGTCGTGAGTCAGTCAAGTGAGAATTCAAGTCGGCAGGAATAGCGCAAGCTCCCACGTAGTGAGAAACACACAATTCAATACTAGTAAGTATCGAGTTTAAACGAGCCAACAAAAACATTACCATACTAGCAAAGAACGGCAGCAATATAATAGTACCAAGCTCCACACATGTTTACATTGTATAAAGAAAGACAATGGTACTGAGACAAACCTTACAACTACTGGGCAGGGGCTGCACTGAGACGCAGCAGTGATGGTGGTGTATTGATATCTCTGCCGACCCGAGGTCTCGGCTAGGCATATGCGGATAATGCCGGCAGAAAAATTGGCAGAATTCGGTACTTTTTCTTGTAAGTTTCATGCATGTTTGGTATGTGGATAAAGAATTGGAGCAGAATTCGAGGAATTGGCCGCCATAAGGTTTGTATGGTTCTGTCAATTTCACTGCTTTTCGAGCAGAATCTGCCACCTTTTATTTATTTATTTATTTATTTCACCTTCCCGTGGCCAGAGAATATAGGCCAATATGGTAGCCAAGCTGCATGCTTATGGGGTCACCGGCCGCCTGCAGTCGTGGCTCACCTCCTATCTCAACAATAGGACTCAATCAGTCAAGCTTGGTCCAGTCCTCTCGGATTCTAGCCCTATCTGCTCTGGTGTACCGCAAGGGTCCACTCTAGGACCGTTACTTTTTTTGGCCTTCGTCAACGACCTCCCTGTCCTCAACCCTGGCGTGTCTCTGTTTGCAGACGACACTTGTATGCTGCGCAGTAGTCCCTCTGTTTCCCGTTTTGTATTAGACCTCCAAGCGGGTATCACGGATATCACCTCGTGGATGGCATTGTGGAAGCTAAAACCGAACGTCGGGAAGACCAAGGTAATGATCATTCCCCCTCTGTCTACTACTCTCTACTACCCTCTCCCTCCCCTAGTATTCCATTTCTCCACCACTCCCATAGAATATGTGGATCATCACAGGCATCTTGGTGTCATTTTTGACACTAATCTCTCCTGGACTCACCATGTTGCCCACATATGTAAGAAGACTAGTCAAGCCATAGGTATAATATACTCACACCGCGCCCATCTTCCTGACAGCTGTCGTGCTCTTTTCTATAATGCATATATCTTGCGGCATTTTGACTACTGCTGTACTGCCTGGACAAATCTATCTATTGCCCAACAGCAGAAACTGGAAACTCACAATCGTTCCCTCCTTAAGATTCTTTATCATATGCCTAAATCCCTTTCTAGTGTCGCTCTCTATATGTTATCCTCGACCAGACCTCTCCTAGAAAGACGACGAATCATGATGTGCTGTCTTATTCATCGTATTCGACTTTCCAAAATGCCCCCGCATCTTAAAGCATTTTACTGGTTCCGACGGGATAATTCCACTAGGAACCAACTCTCCCTTCCTCTAGCCCGCTCTTCTGCATTGCTACACTCCCCCCTTTTCAATGGCTATTTGCATTGGCTTAAGCTGCACCAGGAGACAAAGGGCCTTTCTACTTTAACAGCATTCAGGAACGCCTTGCTTTACCAGTAGACCACAATTTTAGTCCATATTTGCTTCTTTCTTCTTTTCCTTTTCTTTTTGACTTCTTACTCTTTTCCATGTTAGCCATGGTTGGCTATAAAAACCCTGCAATCGCCACGCAAAGTGGTCATTGGCTACCCCAGCCATGTATTGCTTGGAATAAAATAAATAAATAAATGGAGGGAGGGGGGGGGGGCGGTAGCCAGCCATGGCAGTAAACAAAAACAAAGCAAAAATAAATAAATATTACACATTACTGGAGGCAAAGAGAAACAAATGTGGATGAAGAATTAGCAGTTATTAGAACACGAGCTTCATGTTGGCCTTGAAATCCTTTAGCGTACAAGACGATTTTACTGATAGAGGCAGGGCCAGCCAGAGAGAATAGGCAGCGAAAACGGAGATCTGGTATAAGCTGAGGTTCGGGCTTTAGGTAAAGTGCAGGGATTGCGCGTAGGACGAGTGGGAAGAAACCAGTTATATTTACGCAAGTGTGGCGGGGCTTTGTCAAGACGAATAGAATGAACAACAACACACAGTTTTCGATCTGCTTGACTAGAGATAGGGAAGGTGTTAAACATATCATACAGCTCGGCAGAAGGAAAGTATGATGGTTTGCGGAAAAGGACTTTGAGTATCCTCTTATTGTGGACTTCCAGGGTACTCATTAACGATTTACTTAGTAGGGATGACCAGGCGGTTGAGCAATAGAGAAAAGGGGGGCTTTTCGAGCATTATCCGCTAATTCCTACTTCAAAGTAGTCTCGGCATCACGGCCAAAAACACGCACCAAAAAAAAGAAAAAAGATAGAACTGAACGGGTCAGCAAAATGAAAAGAAAGTAAGGGCTAACACCAGCGAGTGTGCGCTAGCTCTTTCCCAAAACACCACGCCGAGTGGTTGCACAGTTCGAAGACGACCGCTGCCGGCGAGGCTTTGGAAGAACTCTGTGCAGCACACCAACTCACCCAGCACGTCGATAAGCCAACTCGAGGTAACAACACCCTGGACCTCATCCTCTCTGACTTTGTCTGTCCTGTCACAACCACAACTCATGCCACCAAGAGTATAATTATAACCCCGTACTCTTGATGCCACACTAGGAAAATCAGATCATGCCGTGCTCATCTCAGACTTCCTTACCGTCTCTCCTCGGCGAGAGCCCGCCACTGTTAGGACACTATGGAGGTACAACCGTGCAGACTGGGGTCGGTTCCGTGCCTTTCTGAGGGCAGCCGACTGGAACGTGATAGTTTCGGGTGATCCTGAGGAGTCCTGTTCTAGGCTCACACAAGTGATCAGCGCAGGCATGAAGAAGTTTATCCCAAACCGAGAACATCACACTCAATCATCAGACCCACGCTGGTGGACCCCGGAATGTGATGATGCCCTACAAGGCTACATGCAAAGGAAAGCGCCTGGACAGCCTGGCGACGTAACCCTGGCAACTTGGACAACAAGTCCATACATTGAGGCTGTCAATCTCTGCGCTGCCCCGTTCCACCGGGCCAGAGTCTCCTTTGAGAGCCGGCTCCGCAACAAGCTCACGTCTGGGTCACTTACGGACAAAGGGTGATGGACTACGGTGAAGCAAGCTGCTGGTCTGAGCCGTGCAAGTGAGATCCCGCTACTTGCGGACCGAAGTAAGAGGGAGTTCCACTCCAGCGATGACAAAGCCAACTGCTTAGCAAGATACTTTGCCACGAAGTGTAGTCTTGGAGATCGTGACATATCTCCAGACTCACTCCCTCCCAGTGCTCAACCTTTACATGGCAGCCTAGATCGTATCCATTTTCGAGTGTCTGATGTCCAGCAACGGTTAGCCAGGCTCGACCCTTGCAAAGCCGCTGGCCCTGATGGCCTTCCAACTCGGGTACTGAAGGAATGCTCTCGTGAGCTGACGTGGCATGGCCCCAGCAGTCACCAAGCTCTTCGAACTGTCCTTCACACTTGCCACGTGATCGTTGCCACGGTTTGAGCCAATCAGAGCGCTCACAGGCAGGGCATGAACCTCTGATCATGCCCTGCCATTCAGGCCCTTGGGCTTGAATGGCACCGTAGGAGAACATGAATGATCACGTGATGGGTGTACTCGCACGTGGAGAGACTTACCTGATCGAGGTGGTCAAGAGAGAAAGAAAAAGCCTGATATCCGGTCCATGTCTGATACATGCGGTGGCATTCAGGCCCTTGACCAATCAGCACGTCCCGAGAGCTTGTGGAGGTGAAACTGAACACGCCGGCATGAAGGTATAAAAGGAAGAAACCTCTAGGGGTGGTGGTCGGGGACGTGGAGAATTCAGCTTCTGAGTTTCAGGTTGGTACGCTCTCGGGCTTTGTTGATTCAGGCTCGAGGGCCTGAATCAACAAAGCCCGAGAGCGTACCGACCTGAAACTTCACCTTGCTTGAGATGAAACTAACTTCACCTTGCTTGAGTTGAAACTTCACCTTGCTTGACATGAAACTTCAGAACGAAACTTCAGAACGAAACTTCAGAACGAAACTTCAGAACGAAACTTCAGAACGAAACTTCAGCCGGAGCGCACGGAGGTGGAACTTCAGCTTGTGAGTTTCTGCCATTGTTGTGCAACGAGTGCCATAAAGGACTTGAGAACTTGGGCAGGCAGGCACTCGGTGTTTCTAGTTGATGTATTTCAAGTTTCGATTTATGCAGATTAGTGCAGTACAGTGGCTTTGTTTGCGCTGCTAGCATGCTGCGGGTGCGTTGTAGGTTCACTTGCACGTGCACGTTCTGCTGAGGAGAGCGTTCTGGCTTTCACTAGCACTTGTGCTGTCGTGCGTGGGTGGCAGTGTGAAACACAATCAGACATGGATGTCAGGGCAGGTATCGTTGATTCCGGCCCTCGAGCGGCCCGCGGCCTTCGGCCTTGGGCCGCTCTCGGGCCTGAATCAACGATACCTGCCCTGACCATCTGATTATATACGTACTGACTGCGACAGTACAGCTACCTGTAGCCAGTGGCAGTGTAGCATACTGTAGGTGTAGGCTGTACTGTCTGGTAGACCAGTGGTAGCGGTAGACCATGGTAGACTACAGACTACACTACACTACAGTCTACAGTCATGACTCATGAGTCATGGTGTGGGACGCTCGACTCGAGTCGAGTAGATTTGGCACGTGCAGCCTTCCGCGGCGCCGGCTAGTGAGTAGTGTTCGTACATCTGCTCAGTGCTCAGCTGGTGGCCCTGGCCTGTGGCTGTGTGGGCCTGTTGTCACCAATCATCATTCCTCGATCCTGTTTTGTTCTCGCGTTCACCTGTTCACGCCGCAGACTACGCTCGACTATGTCTGCACTACTCGCTACTTGCCACTAGTCTACAGCGGGCATAGCATTTTGTAGACAAACTCGATCTCGACGAGAATCCCTCGTCAAGCAATGTTTTTTTCTTGTTCCTTGTTTTACATCCTGAGCTAATGTTCTCAGCAGGAAAGCAATGACTGGGTGAGTTCGTGTGTGATGCTTGGGCCGTAGGGGCTCTTCGGGCATGGCGACAGCACCTCGCCTGGGAGGTGCATCGTGGCTATCGTCCGCGTTGGATGCTCTGGTGTTTTTCACTCTGGGTATCGTGGCTAGCTACGGGGCCCTGACCGTGAGCCAGCAGTCCTCCCCGTCAGCGAAACGGGACGGCCACTGGCGGGCGGCAGTGATTGCACAGTCGTTGTCAGTCGTACACAGGGCCGGGTTTCAGCATGGCGATAGCCGAGCTGCAGGCAGTGTCACAGAACATCCCAGGTCCCAGGCCATTACTACTAGTACTAGTATCGGCACTAACACGGAGCTTCTCCTTCAGAAAGAGCTGGAGCAGCAGCGCTGGGCGGCGTATATGCGACTAGTAGAGTCACTGCATCTGGACATGTCCTTCATCAAGTGCGGGGAGATGCATAAGCGATACCAGAAAGAGCATCATAAATTGATGGAACGGTCAACAGGGCAGCCAACAACACTGCCACCAGCGCTACAAACAGAGCAGCAGCAGAAGCAACAGCGGCAGCAACACTCGGACCTGCAGCAACAGCAGCAACAGTTACCACGCCAACAACAACAACAACAACAACCGTGGTTGGTAGAGAAGCAAGTAGAGGGACATGGTGCAGAGCAGCGGCAGCAGCAGCACGTGTCGCAGCAACCGCTCCAGCAACAAGTAGTCAAACGTGTGCCAAACCAAAGCAAGCCTCTTGGCCCGCAAAACCAGACAGGCCAGGAGCTCAAGCAGCGCTGGAATGGGCAGGTACAACGGCTGCACACACTCCATAACGAATTGCAACAGCAACTGCAGCAGCGGCAGCAGCAGCAGCAAGGCATGCAACAAAATCGGGAACGAACTGATCAACAGAGACGGCGGCAGAAGCAGCGCAAGGATATAAAATTTCAACGACTGCAGAAGAGGCCTGAAAAATACAGGACACCGCAACAGGCGCAGCAGAGGGCAGGAGAAGAGAAGGACTCCTGGCAGCAACAACAAGAACAGCAGCCGCAACAACTACTGAAGCAAGCACAAGGGCAGCTGCGACAAGAAGTGGAGCGACTGACGCGGCATGCAGTTAATCAGGTGCAGGAAAATTTGCCGAGGCAACAGCAAACGCAACACACCCAGCAGCAGCAGCAACAGCAGCCGCGGCCAAAAAACCAGCCACAGCTGCCTAAGCCTTATGCGGTCTCGCCCGTTGACGTACAGTCTGCGGCTCCCACAGACCGGTCAGATGCCATGCAGAATTATTTTGTGCCCGAGGAGAACGATGGTGGTGCTCGTGTCAGACGCAGGAGACGACGAGCTCAGCAGCCATCCGAGCGTCGTCAGACGCGCATAGCCGTTGTTGTGCCGTATCGCAACCGACAGGAACAGCTCAGTGCGTTTGCCCCGGCCCTTCGGGCATTCCTCTCCCGTCAGGACGTCTTTGCTGAGATCTTTGTAGTGGAGCAGCTTGGCAAAGCCAGCTTCAACCGAGGAGCTCTAATCAACATTGGATTCCTGGAAGCCAACGCGCTTAGCGTGGATCGCGATACGTTTGATTGTGTTGTTGTGCATGATATCGATCTGATTCCGCTTGACCTTCGTAACCGGTATGACTGCCTTCGTCCTGCTGTTGCTCGTGCTCAGGCTACAGGTTTGGATGGTGGAACTGCCGCTGGTGCTGCTGCTGCAACTGCTACTGCTGTAACTGCTACTGCTGCTGCTGCTGCTGCTGCTGCTGCTCCTGCTGCTTCCGTTGGTGGTGGAGATCATAACAACAGTGGTAAGAAGTTTGTTGCTGCGGTTGCTCCTGGTACCAGCCATGGTGCTGCTGCTGTTGCTCCTGTTGCTGGACTAGCTTCAGACGGCACTTTTCGTGCCCGATATAGCAATGGCGTTTCTGCGAAAAGCGCCATGCATAATAGCGTGGATGGTGCCGATGCTCCGGGACTTTCCCCACGTAACCCAGCATCGTCATCATCGTTACCGGTGGTGGCTCCTGCCTCACGACTAAGTGACCTGCCGCCGCAGCCCCAGCCTGCCGTGCAGCTGAGCTCGGCTATCGACAAGATGAATTGGTCGCTGATACCGGCCGCCGATGGTGGTGTGAACATGCTGGCGTCGTCGACGTTCCGCAAGGTCAACGGCTTCAGCAACCGCTTCTTCGGCTGGGGCGGAGAAGACAACGACCTCACGACGCGGCTGGGAGCCAAGAACGTGGTGATGGCACGGCGCAATACCGAGCACGGCTGCTACGCCAACCTCAAGTCCGGCCACTACGTGTCAGGGCAGGTGGCGGAGAATCGCTTCGATCTGCTGCGCATCTCCAATGAGCTGCTCGGCGAGGGCCTGACGACGGCCAAGTATCGAGTGCTTGGGCGGCGTCGGTACCAACACGCCGGTTTCGTCAAGATCAGCGTCGACATCTGGCTGCACGAGCCATCACTCCAGGATGGCATGCCCTGGCAGCAAGGTGATTGACCCGTTCAAATTCAGAATGCCCAGTTCGACGTTAATGAGCATTGACCGGCTGTACTGTGGAAGGCCGGCACTGTGGAAGGCCGGTACTGTCATTCTCTACGGGTCCCAGGTCCACCACCCCGGCCTGGGGGAAACTTCGGAGAGTGCTGTCTGTGGGCCAGGTTGCCTAGTAGTTGATGCGTCTTCACAGTGAGGGCTGTGCAGTCAGAATGCAGTCTATTAATTATTCAGCACACAATTCGATCTGGTGCTGCCACCACCATCACCACCAGCAGCATCACGACTTTGCAGCCAATGTACGTCTAATAACAACATGCCCCAGCTGCTGGCACACTGCAGCGTGAGCCAGTGACGGTGCGCCGGTAACTCCAGCCAGCCCATTGCTACACGGTGATGACAAGTGAGGCATTACACAACTGCCAGTCAGTTTGCTCTACTGTTCCGACAGAGGACTTTCTTTGATTTTGCCCCGAGCGGCCTAGCACATTGCTCGCGACAATGCTACGGTGCAGGACACACACAGAGGTGCGCTGTGAGGTGTGCCATGCGACAACCTGTTGCTGCTGTTGCTGCTGCTGCTACTGCAGTTGCTGGTTATACGGTGGTGCTGCTGCTGGTGGTGGTGGCAAGGCGCATACCTGATACAGTACTCTAGGCGTAGCTTGGCTAACGACATGTAGCCGTCGCTGGCTGTTGCAGTCGGCCATCGCCTTGCCCTTGCCATGTGTGTGCCCTTGCCATGTGTGTGCTCTTGCAGTGTCTGTTTCACCATGCGCTTGAAGCATCGAGCAAGCGGCGGGCAGAGTATCATCACGCCATTGAATGGCCATGCTCCTCCAGTACATTCACTAGTCAATTTCCATCAGCGTTGCCTTCAACGATAAGTGTAAGTCAATCTCTATGAGCGCTGCCTTCGCTATGCACTGCAATGTTGCCTCTTTGCGTTGATATTTAAAAGACATTCCTCACGTTGTCTCGTGTTACTACTATCCTATGCTATACTCTGCCGTCGTACCCTATCCATACTGTTATATTCTATCCTATCCTATCTGCTATCCTAGCATACTCTGCTATCCTATCTGCTATCCTAGCATATGCTATGCTCTGCTATCCTAGCATATGCTATCCTAGCATATGCTATGCTCTGCTATCCTAGCATATGCTATGCTCTGCTATCTATTGGCTTCACACCAGTGTTTTAGGCACTATCACTTCGATTGTTATGATCACTTGTTGAGTTTATTTTATCACAATATTTTGCAGCGGCTTCACGTACTCACGGCATGACAGTGATGAAAGTGACCTGAAGATCGATTCTGGAAAACCTTCGACTTTGTTGATACATGGTGATGACAGCAGAGTTAGTTCTATTTATTGCTCTATTTTCCACTTGGTTCTTTTGCTTAGCCTTAATCTTCTCGCCTCGGGCGTTCATTTTGCTTCTCCCCTTTCGGTACAAAAAGGGCGATTTTCACCATCAGCATAGCAGAGTTCTTGAGAAAGGAGGGTGGGGTGGGGGGGGGGGGCAGTCTCTCCCCCCCCCCCACCCCACACACGCTCTGATGCTCTCCCCCCCCCCCCCCCCCACCCCACACACGCTCTGATGCCCTCCCCTCCCCCCCCCCCCCAATAACTGCATTTTTGTCACTTCCCAGTAGCCCTTCTTCCATTCAGTTTGTTTTCTCCCTCCCATCCCAGACTGAAGGGTGTCTAGAGACATACTACGCAAGTTTAGCTAGACGAATTTCACGTTCGTCTTCGCACTCCAATGACAGTCAAACTCAGTCAGTGACGAAGTTTGCGTTATAATGATGGTGTCTATCACACCTTTCAGTCAGGGGAGAGGGGGGGGGGGGGGAAGGGCCACTGCGAAGTGACAGAAATGCAGCATCTTGTGGATATCAGTGTTACCACTTTCTGTGGAAGAAAAATCCCAAATCGGAGCGATTTTGCAGTGTCGTAGCGCAAAATGTTCGAAATTATCCACAAAGATACTAGCTTTCCAGCTCTCGTTGGCCATTGCCATTGGCATCGGAAAGGGTACCAAATCGTCATTGGAATGTGACTTATAAACAGGTGGGAAAGCTATATTATTCATTTATTGCATCCACACACCTTGATGCGGTTTGCTTCTACATGTACAGTCATGTAGACTACATATTGTATTACAAGTACAACACGGGCCAGAACAACAGAGACCAAAAATCTTTCTCGTGACTCCGAGTTTCGTGTTTCAAAAAACACTCATCACTGACATCAGACGATAAAATGTTATGTACTAGTTTTACAACGCAAATTGAGTATTTATACAATTATTACAACTTACAAGTCAATGTCATTGTAATACAATCATGTAGTACCAAAATTGGGTGCCATCTGCACTGCAGTACTCGTGTACCAGTGCACTGACCCTCTGTGTAGTTTATCATGTTTATAAAGCACACCTGCACCTACATAATCATTAAATTAGGCTACAATATTTCCTCAGAACCCCTTCCTCAATGCCCTGATGATGCCCCATGCCCCAATGGGCGAAATATTGGCAAAGTTAAATTTTATTTATTTGGAGCTTGTTGCCGGAATGGCGGTATTTTCAAGTACAAAATTTCCCTCGCACAAACACGCACGTGACCGCTAGCCAGCCCAAGTGAGTGCATGCCACCGTCGAGCAGGGAGTCGTGAAGCCTTTCACGACCCCCTGCTCGTGCTGCCAAGGCTCGTGCTCCGAAGCTAGCTCACTTTCCGTGAGTTTTTAGCGATCAGATAGATTCTATCACTGACAGTCGGGTTGTGCATTTTTGTCTTCACTACATACATCAATTTTATTCCACTATTAGTATTATTATTATTACAGCAGGCTCCCTATTAGTATTACCCATCCCTAGCTCTGCAGAACCGACGGTGCTCTGTGCTTGGGCCAGTAACCAGTAACAGTAATACTAGAAGTAACAGTTGGGGGGCGGCTGTACCAGTACAGTGTAACGCTTGAAAACTGGCAATGTCGGCGGTGACAGCTGCGTTTCTGCTGGCGATTTTCTGCTTCGCCGGCCAAGCGAGAAGTGCGCAGAGTGCTGCAGCCAGCATAGGGGAAGTAGTTGACCCGCTGCCACACATTGTGTTCGTCGTGGGTGAGTGGCCGGGCATGATTCACGCTGTAGTCATACATTGTTGACTGTTCATTGTTCTAAACTACATCCCCACTTACCGGCGCTCATACAACTAATAGATGAAGTCGTGTATTATACTGGGCGCTAATGCCAGTAATGGGTTGTACAGAGAAAGAAAATTGATCAACTTGAATATGTGTAAGGGAATGAAAGAAAGAAATTTATCTGTGTGTTGAAGTGTTTTACAGGCGAGAAATCAAAAAAATTAAGAAAAACAGATGTTTAGTAGAGGTGACTGCAGTTCCACACAGCAGTGCTGGATGAACTGGCGTATCCAGGCTTGCTGATCTGAGAGGCCTGGGCTTGTGCAGAGGGGGGGGGGGGGGGGGGCAGGGGCGTAGCTAGCTAGCTGGTCCTAGACCTAGGGACCGACGGATTCTGCTCGAAAAGTAGTGAAATTGGCAGAACCATGCAAACGTTATGGCGGGCAATTCCTCGAATTCTGCTCCATTTCTTTATCCACGTACCAAACATGCATGAAACTTACCAGAAAAAATACCGAATTCTGCCAATTTTTTTGCCGGCAGAATCCGCCGGACCCTAGCTGGTCCCCCTTTAGGGGAGGGGGGGGGGGTGCACGGCCACATACAATTATGTATGTGTAGGATGGCTAGTGCATATCATTCATGGTCATTATGTGCATGCTGAACCTAGGTCGGAATTTTCAGGGGGGGGGGTGCATGTGCCCTCCCCCCCCCCTGCCCATGCAGGCTACGTGGGGGGGGGGGGGAGAGAAAGAGATAGATCAATTTGAGGGCAATTCCGAATGAAAGAAAGAAATTGATCAGTTTGTTTTTAGAGATGAAACCATAGTGGCGATTGATGTCTGTCTGTCTATGCAACGAAAGATGCCCGGACCACACAGCAAAGAGCAAGACTGGACCGAATACCCTTATGCACATTGATGTCACATACGAAATGGTTGTAAGACTTATCCCTTCACCGCCACCGTTAGGCGCTGCGTCTGCCGCTAGGGTTTACCGGGTGTTAGCGGCCGTCGTGAGTTTCATTCAGGAACGGACACGATAATTTACTGTTTTTAACTTAACGAAATCCCGTAGAACCGCGTAGACCCGGTTGGGTGTTAAATGTACAGGACCCTTTTGTGTTATCTGTATTTTCGATTACGAAACGTTCCCTACAGGCATTTCATGAAACAACTTTTTTCTGACGAAGATCTAGCTAGTCATTAGCTCTATCCAAACTGATGAAGCTGGAAAATCAACTGTCTGCCACTAAGTATAGAGCTAAACTGGTCAAATGCGCATGATTGTATAGCACACAATGACCACCCAACCGTGCATGTACACACCAACGAGATGATGTAATGGGCATAAGAGATGATGTAATGGGCATAAGAGATGATGTAATGGGCATAAGAGATGATGTAATGGGCATAAGGACTATTGATACTGATATCATTATTTTAAAAGCGTTTCAAGTGTCTGCTCTTCTGCCCTGTGTACGATGTGTACGATGTGTGTGGTCGTGTTCAGCGGATGATCTGGGGTTCCACGACCTGGGTTTCCGCGGCACGCGCATCAAGACTCCCAACCTGGACAGTTTGGCCCTGGGCGGTGTGGTGTTGGAGCAGTATTATGTACAACCGGTGTGTACACCAAGGTGAGTAAGGGCACAGAGTTGGCAACAAGGACTTCTTCATGTGTGCCGGTCTGGCTCACGAAGAAGCTCTGAACTCAATCTGCGCCCATTCCTTGCACGTACGAGCGTGTGCGTGTGTACGTGTATGTGTGCATACGTGTGTGTGCGTACATGTGTGCACGTTTGTGTATGTGCCTGCAGTCGTGCGTCGTTCATGACGGGACGCTATCCATTCCGTTACGGCCTGCAGCACTATGTCATGCAGGGAGGTCATGTATGTACTGTGCTGCATAATCCATGTGTTTGTTTGTGTGTGTGTGTGATGGTGGTGGGGGGGGGGGGGGGGTATCTGTGTGTGTATTGATGTGTGTGTATTGATGTATGTGTGTTTGTGTGTGTGTGGGGGGGGGGGGAGGGGTGCATATGTCATATTTTTGTTTCATATTCTCTGGGGCCACTGAGAACCGGAAAGGCGATTAGTAGTATAAGTAGAATTTATTACTTTGACAGGGAAGGCGCTACAGACATTGCAGTGCCAAGGAAATAAATAGAGATTAATCAGCTCCAAAGCGTTGGCTCTGTACCATGTGGGAATTCTGAAGAATTCGTTAGTGCATTGGCAACGCCTGGTTCTAATGGGTAATACATGCCACATAGAAGCTAGATGTTCTTTGCCTCGCCTGGACTGGATCAGTAGCATACCGTATCGTAATTTTCGGTTTTGTTGATGTTTTAGAGCCTCATGCTGTACTCTCTCTCTCTCTCTCTCTCTCTCTCTCTCTCTCTCTCTCTCTCTCTCTCCCTCCCTCCCTCCCTCCCTCCCTCTCTCTCTCTCCCTCCCTCCTCCCTCCCTCCCTCCCTCCCTCCCCTCCCTCCCCCTCCCTCCCTCCCTCCCTCCCTCCTCTCACTCTCTCTCACTCTCTCTCACTCTCTCTCTCACTCTCTCTCTCTCACTCTCTATCTCTCTCTCTCTCTCTCCCCCTCCTCCCTCCCTCCTCCCTCCCTCCCTCCCTCTCTCTCTCTCTCTCACTCTCTCTCACTCTCTCTCTCTCTCTCTCTCTCTCTCTCACTCTCTCTCTCACTCTCTCTCTCTCTCTCTCTCTCTCTCTCTCTCTCTCTCTCTCTCTCTCTCTCATGATTCTATTTTAGGACTATGGTCTATTCCTGAACGAGACTCTGATACCGGAGAAGCTGAAAGGAGCAGGCTACATGAACCACGCTGTGGGCAAGGTAAGAAACAATAGGATGTTGAAATTATTGTTGAGGTGCACGCACGCCTACGTTCCTGTGTGGGTATGCATGCATGCGAGGACAAATGTTGTATCACATGCATGTATGTGTGTGCTTGTAGCACCAGAGACCTACCATCACATCAGTGTCTACATCATGGCTTTTACTTATCCTAATATTCTTAGAGTTCCACGGCTACTGAAGGGATGAAGTAAATCCTTTTTTTTCTTTAGACCAAGAGTGGTACACATTAAATTAACTAAAATGGTTAAAGGGGAAGTTAAGGCAAAAATTAAAATTTCACCAGTTGTAGTCTTCGGGGTGCTGAGTCGAATGGTCGTGGTCCGAGGAAGCTGAGACGCTCCCTTCCTCCTTGAATCCCAATCGAACTCGCGCACTTCCACCGAAACTGGGTGACTGCGCCCTACTAGATGGGGATTTGTATGCAAAATGTCACTAAAAGCGCCATTTCGTTCTTATAAAAGCACGGATGACCGCGATTGGCCCATGTGTTGTAGTCTTTTGGATGCTGAGTCGACTGGTTTTGGTCCGAAAAGGCTGCGATGCGGCGTTCCTCCTTTATTCCCAATCGAACATGGTTGAAGAAGCGGTCACGTGCTCCTGCGTACACCAGTCACCTGGTCACCGTGCCTGCAGGGTACAACTTACTAGCCTGTTTGACCTTTTTTGGGTGCAGTCCTGTCACTCGATTTGAACCCGAGTTGAACCTTGGTGTGAAAGTTGTCACCTGCTGGCGTGGTGACCAGGTGATTTGGGCACCCAGGACCACGTGACCGCTTCTTCAACCATGTTCGATTGGGAATAAAGGAGGAACTCTGCATCGCAGCCTTTTCGGACCAAAACCAGTCGACTCAGCGTCCCAAAGACTACAACATATGGGCCAATCGCGGTCATCCGTGCTTTTATAAGAACGAAATGGCGCTTTTAGTGACATTTTGCATACAAATCCCCATCTAGTAGGGCGCAGTCACCCAGTTTCGGTGGAAGTGCGCGAGTTCGATTGGGATTCAAGTAGGAAGGGAGCGTCTCAGCTTCCTCGGACCAAGACCATTCGACTCAGCACCCCGAAGACTACAACTGGTGAAATTTTAATGTTTGCCTTAACTTCCCCTTTAATTTTACGAAATGTTCCTACATGTTTGTCGTTCTAATCAACATTGCTAATGGATAAAGAAACCGGAGCTGTAGGGATTGGAAAAAAATGTCCGGATCTCAAGCAGTCCAGATAGAGTATGGTCTTTGTTCTGCTTTGTCTCGTCTACCGGTTTTGGGGTTATGTCATCCGAATCCGGATGGAGTCATCGTATTCTGGGTGAGGCAAAGCAAACACATCCATGCTGTGCTGGTGTGTGTGTGTGTCTTTGTCCTGCACTGTAGTGGCATCTGGGCATGTGTTCCTGGAAGCATACTCCCACGTTCAGGTATGTTTAAGTGGTAGCCATCTGCAAGCGCATGCATGTACATATTGAATTTGAGTTTCCCAGGCAATTCATCGACCCATCTGAGCTTTCTAACTTCAATGGTGTGAAACCAGGGCAGTCGTGAGAGGAGTTTTATGTGTGTGTATGTGTGTGTGTGGGGGGGGGGGGTGCTCCGCCAGGAGACTTTTTTTTAGACGGTGCAATGAAGATCCTGGTACACTGTATTCCATTACTTCTCCATTGGGTGGCACTCTCCGTGCATGCTATGTTTACATGTGCAAGATGCACTCTCCATAGAATTCGCGACCCAAAACCCGATTTAAAATTGACGCATGTGTGTGTTTGTGTTCGTGTGTGCGTGTGTTTTTGTGCATGCGTGTGTGTGTGTGTGTGTATGCGCGTGGGTGTGGGTGTCTGTTTTGTGGATGCATGTGTGTGTGTGTGTGTGCGTGCGCGTGTGTGTGTGTGTGCGCGCACGCGTGCGTGTGCGTGTGTGTGTGTGTGTGTGCATATGGTGCAGTGGTATGTGCAGCGATTTCCAATCGATAGATTGCGGGTTCGATTCCCGACGATTATGGTCACACACGTCTTTCTTCTCTTTCTCAGACTCTTCCTGACTTTTCTTTCTTTCTCCTGGGTGGTTACCAACAGCCAGTGCATGCCGGAGTATGTGGTGTGATGTGTGTGCGGGGAAAAAAACTTGAAAAGACCAAAAATAGGGATTCACTGGCCAGAAAATGTCACTCCAAATAGCTGTATGGTGTAGACCAGGCTGAATAGTGACGGTCAATTCTTCAGCCTTGCAAGCTGTTGAATGGTGTAATCCCAGCACAAGTTGCTATGGCTTCTGCCGTAGCATTGCTATCATCGCCTCCGGCGATGGGCGTCAAAGGTCAAAGGTCAAAGGTGTGTGTGTGTCCCATATGGTGCAGTGGTATGTGCAGCGATTTCCAATCGAAAGGGTGCGGGTTCGATTCTCGACGATTATGGTCGCACACATCTTTCTTCTCTTTCTTAGACTCCTGATTTTTCTTTCATTCTCTTGGGTGGCTACCAACAGCCAGTGCATGCCGGAGTATGTGGTGTGATGTGTGTGCGGGGAAAAAAGTAAAAAAAGACTAGAAAGTAGGGATTCACTCGCCAGAAAAAGCCACTTCATAGCTGTGTGGTGTAGACCAAGCTGAATAGTGGCGGTCAATTCTTCAGCCTTGCAAGCCGTTTAATGGTGCAATCCCAGCACAAGTCCTATGGCTTCTGCTGTAGCACTGCTAACATCGCCTCCGGCGATGGGCGTCAAATGGTCAGTGGTGTGTGCGCGTGTAAGTGTAAATGTGTGTGTACATGTCTATGTGTGTGCATGTGCGTGCGCGTGTGTGTGTGTGTGTGTGTGTGTGTGTGTGTGTGTGTGTGTGTGTGTGTGTGTGTGTGTGTGTGTGTGTGTGTGTGTGCATGGGCATGTGTGTGTGTGTATATCTGCAACTGATGCAGGGGGTTTGATTCCTACTTTGGTTTCTACGGCGGAGGCGAGGATTACTACACGCATAAACACGGTGGATACGACATGCGCCGGGACAAGCAGCCTAACTGCGGAGAGGGATGCTCAGAAGTGGCGTGGGATGCGCAGGGACACTACTCCACACATCTCTTTGCCGGAGAGGCAGTGGGCATTATCCAGGAGCATGACGTTACCAAGCCACTGTTCCTGTAAGATATTGCTGTTATAGGGATTTGGCCTTAGGGGGGTGGGGGGACTGCGCGTGTGTGTCACTGTGTATGGCAGGGGGGGGGGGGGTGTTTGTATGTGCATGAATGTGTGCACATGCATGGGTAGCTTCCACGGTGGTGGTGCTTGTTGTAGTGCTGGTGGTTGTTTTAATTTGATTTCATTCGAGTCAGAGATCAAACAAGTTCAAACAGAGAACACATGGTTACAATGGATCCAAGATTATTACCATGAGCCTCAAAGGCTTAGCTGGAGTGGTTGAAGGGTTTTTTTTTAGAATGAAGAGAATCAAGTAATGATAATCGCTTCCAGAAGCGGGACAAAAGAAGCGGGGCGATATAAGGACCACAATAGAAGGGCGACAATAGTAGCGCGATAATAATACCGGGACATTAGTATTGTACCGTGCACGCGAACATCATTATTTTAAACAGTACGGGAACAGAAGCTTTAGTAATCTAGAAGCTCTGTTGTTAAAATTATGTGTACAGCATCTGAAGTGTGCCTGCTCAGAATTCAGTTCGTTAGAATGTAGCTTGCAGTAACTTTGAAATAATTTATGTAAGAAAAGCATTTCATGCGATTTGTACTTGGCGTTGTGGATAACCAGTGGCACAACTGAAATTTTGATGTCTATGTCTCTCTCTCTCTCTCTCTCTCTCTCTCTCTCTCTCTCTCTCTCTTTCTCTCACGCGCGCGCGCGTGCGCGCGCACACACACTCACACACGCACACACACATACACACACACACACACACATTCCCATTCTCGCAGATACGCACCGTTTCAGGCCGTCCACGCGCCCGACGAAGTACCCGAGTCGTACATCGAGCCGTACAACACTACTATACCGGACAAGAAGAGGCGAACGTTTGCGGTAAGAGCATCGCATTCGCATTATGCACATGGACATGCAAGTACAGGAACACCTGTCTAAGACGACCACTCAAGGGACCTTCCAAACGTGGTCTCTGTTACCAGGTGGTCTCTGTTATCAGTTGGTCTCCTTACCTTGGGTCATTTGACTGGAAATAGCATCCCTTGGTCCTGGTTCCAGCGGTCTTCTGGGACAGATCTTGACAAGTTTTGCTGTGCAAGTATTTCATGTGCATTGAAAGAAGCACTGGAAACTTTGTCTGCATGTCTTATGAAACTAGAAACTCTCAATATATCGGCCTGGCATCGTGAATTTGACCCAGGTCAGCGTTCGGGTGGACCTTGGTGGATCTGCACGATTGATTTACTCGATCTGGAGCCGTGAAGACTTGAGCAAACTGATATAGCCCTAGTTCCTCGTTTTGGCTATGGTAAAAAACTTTTAAAACGTGTTTCCATATTGCCTTGACTTGATTTTGTGGTCAATTTTTGATGTGTCGTGTTCTCGTCTGCTTGGGTCCACCGTCAACTTGCCGTGAACATGCTGTGAACGTACTACAATGGACAAACCGTGGACATACTCTGGGTGTACCGTGAACGCACTGCCATGGACATGTCGTGGACAAACCGTGTGCCTATCATGTACATATCGTGTACATATCGTGGGCATACGATGACTGGCCGTGCATCCATAGGGTATGTTGTCAGCACTGGATGAAGGCGTTGGCAACATCACCAAGGCCTTGATGCAGAAAGACATGTGGAACAACACAGTATTTGTATTCTCCACGGTAAGCACTGCCAAGTCACAGCAGAGACACGCGGCGCATGCCTCAAAACAGTTGTGCCGTACGTTTGCCCTGCTCAATGTATTCTGTTCGTTTCCTTGGCGCTGACGCGTGGAATTCTCTGCCTGTGACGTGTCGTCAAGTTGAGGATTTATCTGTTTTTATTGCACTCCGTAAGGAGAACTAGGGTTCCCTGTAAGAAGATGGCAACGTCTGTAGGGGGACTTCCCTACTCCTACAGTGCTGATCAATGCAATCCGATCGCATTAGTCAAGTTTGCCCCTCACACCATTTCGCAGCCCAGTGTTTGCAGTGAGCAAGCACAATACAGTACAGTACAGTGCGTGCGTGCCTGCCTGTCTGTATGTCTGTCTGTCACGTGTATGTGCTTGTGTGTGTTCTGTATGCCTGTGTGTATGTATAATTATGTGTGTACGTGTATGTGTATGTGTATGTGTAGGACAATGGTGGCCCGATAGCCGGCTCCTCTCGTTGTCACATTTGCGGCGACAACACTGGCACAAACAACTATCCGTTACGTGGCGGCAAGCATACGCTCTGGGAAGGTGGTGTTAGAGGCACGGTGAGTCTACTTCATCCATAGTAATACCTGGCCTAACAGGACGCCCTTGCTGCAGCGGAAGCTGTCCTGATACGACAGGATTCAACTTGATCTAGGGGTGCACGTTCGATCTACAGCACTTTGGTGCATGAAAATGTGTCGGTCTATACGGGACTCCGCTTGCTACAGGATCCGGCAAACACAGCTTTTACTGGATAGTGATCCTATGAAGCATTTGTATCTGAAGTTTTCAGTGCACGTGTGTGCATGGTTCTTCAGCTTCTTTTGCAAGGCACATTACAGAAAAACCTACCGCGTCGACCGCCTGTCCCAGAGCACCACTACAATCAGGGCAAAGAGATCCTGTTTGCAGTTTTAACACGACCATGAATAACTAAGGTCTGGCACTCGAAAGGGTATCGAAATTTCAGTCACATGAAAATGTGTGAGTTTGTGAATATCACGCGTCTGCTAAAGGCGACCGGTTTCACTCTACGCTGTGTCCATGTTCTAGCTCAACTGGGATTCTAAAAATATTGGGGTCTACGGAGACCTCTCAGCAACACGAATACAGACATGCCAAGTTCGCAATTGGCAGAGTCGCAGGAGTAATGCCGCAGCGCGATACGAGCACTCGAATGCCAGACCTTAGTTATTCATGGCCGTTTAAAAACTGCAAACAGGATCTCTTTGCCCTGGTGTATTACGTCACCATATCCAAAAATATTGGCAAAAGAGTCGTAAGGGGGCGTCCGTAAATATCGATGTTTTTTTAGAGACGATATTGGTGCGTCTGGGGGGGGGGGGGGGAGGGGGTTTGAGCCATGTGCGTCTTTTCGAGCATCAGAAAAATATCGATGTAAATATCTGAAGTTTCGCCGATCCCTGCACGCGGACGTCTAAATGGCTATACAAGAAATGTGAAACCAGCTTCCGTTCGCGGAGCTAAAACTCGCGACACAAGAACAAAATCAAACATTGGAAGCTGGACGCCCATGGCGAATTTCAAGAGCAAAAGAATGAGCTATTGATTGTGGAAATCGGCCGAACGATGCCTGCAGGAGACCTTTTTCAAGACGTAGAGGCAGTGCGAACAAACACGGACGAACTCCACAAGAGTTTCCAGTCTTCACTGTCTGAACAAGGATTTGAAAAAATGAGCATCCAAAAATATTGATTCCATGATCTAGATGTACATATGCGTCTTCTGGGGGGAGGGGGGGGGGGGTCAAGGGAGAGAAGCACCAATATCGTCTCTAAAAAAACATCGATATTTACGGACGGCCCTTTTTATTTATTATATTTCGCCTGAAACTCACCCACAGGGTGCCCGGTAGACCGAGGTGCCCGTAACTAGTTACTTGTAGGTCTGGACAAGAGAGCTATGTGTGTACTACCATGCGTGTCTGTGTCTTTAGGCGTTTGTGCACAGCAAGCGGATCAGCAAGCCCGGCACCAAGCGATACGGACTGATGCATGCCGTTGACTGGTTTCCGACCTTTCTGGAGCTGGCACGGTATGTGTACGTGCGGGGGAGGTGGAGGATGTTTTGTGAGTGTGCAGGAGACCAGCTAGGGTGGTGGTGGCGGTGGGGTGGGGGGAGGGGTACTGCAATTAAGCCTGGGTTTACTCACCTGGTCATACAGATTGGTTGCTGTATCTGCTATGTACTTGTACGCTGGTATAATTATTTTTAAACACGCAGTAAACCTGCAAGTTGATAACAGTTTTCCTTTTATCGACTCAGTCAACCTCATGCAGGGTGTCACAGGGCGTTGGTACGACGGGGTCCGGAGGTGTCCCCGCGGGGGGAGGGGGGGGGGGGATACTTCGGATTTTCGGCAACCAGGGCACGTTTTAACGCTCCGCTTTAATTGCATCCTGGACGAAATGTGGCACGAGCATAGTTGTACTGGTCATACCGTGTGTGAGGCCCCTGTTACAGATTGGCCAGTTGACGTATCGTAGGGACCGGCGGATTCTGCTCGAAAAGGTGGCAGATTCTGCTCGAAAAGCTGGGAAATTGGCAGAACCATACAAACCTTATGACGGGCAATTCCTCGAATTCTGCTCCATTTCTTTATCAACATACCAAACATGTATGAAACTTACCAGAAAAAGTACCGAATTTTGCCAATTTTTCTGCCGGCAGAATCCGCCGGACCCTAATCCGACTCGGTCGTTCACTGTGACTAGTGTACTATAGCCGATCTTGGTTTTTCTCTTCATCTCCTCTGCTGCATGCTTGGTTTTAAACTGTAGACTTGACCCGGACCATCCGCCGACGTTCCCATTGGACGGCGTCAGCCAGTGGACTATGATATCGGAGGGTGTCAACTCCAGCAGATCAGAGGTGAGGAAATGAGTGCTGTAGCTGTTAGACGCCGGAAATTTAGTCGGTGAATCATTTCGTCCAACTCTGAAGAAACGGAGTTCGTCCGGCCAAAATTTTGATCCATGGGCCATAAAATGTATTGCAATGCTGCACAAATCGATATCAACAGTTTCTTCCCAGACAAACCCGCTACAAGACTTGGAAGCAGGACGCACTGCAGGTTCTCTGGTTCTTAAGTCTGTCCTTCATCATCGAAGTGATAAACCGGTGTCAGTCGACCATTTCGTTTACTGTAAAAGCAGAAATTTTCGGTGGAGTAATATTTTCGGTATTCTCCAAAAATCGGAGGTTCGATGGAGGGAAATTTTCGGTAAACCCGCTTTCCAGGTAATTAATTTAAAGTGTACAAGTACTATACCGAAATTTTGGGTGCGTTTTATTTTCGGTAAAAATTCTGCACCGAAGTTCCTGAAAATTTCTGCTTTTACAGTAGTCCAAGACCACCTTGGACGAAGAAGACGTAATTTAATTCCCGGTGAATAGTGATGCTTAGCCATGCAGTGATTGTGCAGACTAGCTAGCGGATAGCAAGCTGATGGCTGTGTTGGCTGCCCATGCATGCGGGGCGAGAAAACACTCACCTCTTCCTAGCATCTTCTTTGTATTGAAAATCTCGATCCGAGGTAGGAACCCGTTTGCAGTCGGGCCTCACCCGCTTGTGATCTGAAGTCGTTGAAATTGTAATGATTGTGTTTGTCATGTTGCAAACTCGTAGATTGTGCTGAATATTGATTCACTCCACAACACGCTGGGACCCAAGAGAGAAGGTGGAGGAGGCGATGCAGCATTTCGTCAAGGTACGTCGTTTCTTGGGCAGCATACCGCCTGCTGTGAAAGAAAGGTTCCAAGGATGTGACTTAGGGCATGTTCGATTGGTAGGATCGGGATCCAGATGAACCGGATCCACTGGATTCGCACCCTTTCGATTGGTCGAATACGGACCCGGATCCTTTGGATTTGGATCCGGTCAACCCACCTCGGGGAGCAGGGTTGACAGCATTTCGTCAAGGTACGTCGTTTCTTGGGCAGCATACCGCCTGCTGTGAAAGAAAGGTTCCACGGATGTGACTTAGGGCATGTTCGATTGGTAGGATCGGGATCCAGATGAACCGGATCCACTGGATTCGCACCCTTTCGATTGGTCGAATACGGACCCGGATCCTTTGGATTTGGATCCGGTCAACCCACCTCGGGGAGCAGGGTTGACAGCATTTCGTCAAGGTACGTCATTTCTTGGGCAGCATACCGCCTGCTGTGAAAGAAAGGTTCCACGGATGTGACTTAGGGCATGTTCGATTGGTAGGATCGGGATCCAGATGAACCGGATCCACTGGATTCGCACCCTTTCGATTGGTCGAATACGGACCCGGATCCTTTGGATTTGGATCCGGTCAACCCACCTCGGGGAGCAGGGTTGACCGGATCCTACGGATCCAAATGTGACCTTTGTGCGTATATGGCGGGTAAAAATCTTTTTTTGTACACATTGTGGTACGCACACACGTGGATCGAGATACTCTTGTTGACGTTTCCTACGGCGTGCACGATGAGTACGCCCTTCACCCTTTTGGGTGACCTGTGAGCGCCATTTTATTACTTCGTCAACATGGCAACAGTCATGGTTCAAAATAAAGTGTTCGGTGACTCTGAAGGATCCGACGGATCTGGGATCTGGATCCCGATACTATGAATCGAACATGCCCTAACATGTATACATCCAGCAACCCTGTCTTTACAGGACGGTGCCCTACTACCAGTTTGGCCTACAGAGATTGCACCCACCTGCAGCTCCTTGCTACACACCTTCTCATTTGTTCCTGGTAATACGGGGGGGGGGGGGGGGGACCAGCTTGCCTGTACAATGTCCTATTCCGAAATCCTGGCCAAACTTCTGAAAAAGTTAAACCCTGGTCGAAGTCAGGTGACTTGTAATGTGTACATACAGTCAACTTCGCTAATAACGACTGCGGATATACGACAATTCGCGAATAACGACAGAATGTTCATGCCAAGAGCAAAGTCCCATCTAACTGTAACACATACAATGAGACTTCGGGTATAACGACACTTCGCGAATAAGGACACTTTTCTGATGCTCCGCCGAGTGTAGTTATAAGCGAAGTTGACTGTATACATTTTGAATTTTTGAACCAACTGTTTTGCTTACGTGTATCTTTGCTGTTGCACAAGGTGACTGGAAGCTGACTGTCGGTGATCCAGGACCACCGGACATCTGGTCAGCCAACCCAACAAACTCATCAGAGCATGTGCCCGATGCCGTTCAGGCAGCCAAGACCCATAACTTCAAGATGATGGTTGGCGCGGCAAACAAAACAGTACAGCTGTTCAACATCGCCAGTGATGAACGTGAAATGCACAACGTAGCCGAGCAGAATCCATCGGTGGTAAGCTAAGTGCACCACTGAACCCAGGGCCTTTCCCCTTTGCTCTGTGTGTGTGTGTGTGTGTGTTCATGATCGTGTATCTGTTTGTCTATCTACCTGTCTCCCACTCTCCTGGTGCTAATGAAACTCAAACCGAATGGCATGATTATGCAATACAAGTGATCTTCTGCTCAAAACTCTCGCACTGCTATCTTCAGGGGAAAACCCAGACCATCAGTAGCTGGTGAACTCATTTCATCATAACACACACACACACACACATGCGTGGAACTTGATGAGTCTGCAGTAGCCGTTTTGACAACAACTACGCATGGTGGCATTGCATATGCAATAATGTGGTCACATTGCTTATCCTTATGTGTCTACTGTAAACCGTGAAATTATTGCCATGGTCTAATTTCTGCGAAATTCGCGACCTCGTGGAAATCGCGAAATTTAGACAGCGCGAAAAGGAGATCCATGAAAGGTTTAGCAAGAATGCCACAGTAGCACATTCTGCAATCGCAAAATTAAAACCTCGCAAACCTGTCCGGATTCTGAAAACGCGAACTAAAAACGCCGCGAAAATTTCACGCTTTACAGTATGTGCCTGTACATCCCAACCTGTCTGTGTACACATCCTTCGTCTGTCTTTATGGCTGTCCCTAATCTGTGTGTATGGAAATTCCGTGTACGTGCGGACGTGTCTACAGTGACCTGTCCTGTCTAAGATGACAACTCAAGGGACCTTCGAAACGTGGTCTCCTTATCCAGGGTTATTTGACTGGAAATAGCATCCCTTGGTCCTGGTTGGAGTGGTCTTCTAGAACAGGTGGTCGCCTTGACAGGATTTTACTGCATCTCTCTCTCTCTTACCTATTCATCACACGTCTATATTCCTACCCCTATGTTGATGCACACAGGTGACAGCAATGCTGTCTAAGCTGATGCAGTACGCGGAAGAAAAGGTTCCGCCTCTCTTCTCCTTCGGCCCGGCTGACCCTAAGTCCAACGTCAAGAACTTCAACGACACGTGGACCCCGTGGACGGATGATTGCTGAACAAGTCAAGAATTCGTATCTGACCGTGTTGGCAAATGCTGCTCATATCTATAAAATTATTAGCACTATTCAATAATTCTATCTGCTTTTCTCATAATTTTGAAGTATTTAAATTCTAGGATGATTATTAAAAAATTTGAATTCCCAATCCAGGAAACTTTACAATTTGCGAGGACTATTTTCACAAGTTGAATAGGAAATGCGTGGGTGTGTTTTGCATTCCGACACTTTTTCTTCTATGTTGGAGAAGTTTTATCCAAACACTGGTGGAATGGGGGTGGTGTATGCTGTGGTCTTCTCAGCGTTTCAGGCTGGATGTTCCTGGACTCTCATGTTCTCGGGTGCGCGCAGCTCTACTGTATGTTCTTGCTTTAGTTGATGGCAAGGCCATGAGTTGCGTATGCACTGGTGTCCACACGCTACAGACAATACCCAGAGTGCTCCATATGTACATGCAGAGAGACCAGGCGGGTGCAAACTTTTAAAAAGAGATCACTGAAATCGAAACCCCACCCCCACCGAAGAGCGCAACAGCAATGCCGTGCCAGCAATTTATTGTTGGCAGCTGGCATTAGAGAGAGAGAGAGAGAGAGAGAGAGAGAGAGAGAGAGAGAGAGAGAGAGAGAGAGAGAGAGAGAGAGAGAGAGAGCGAGATGAAAGTCATTGTGCCCTCCTGCTCAGAGTTGGACAGGCATGAAGAGCTAAGCCTACTCAACAGGGGAGTATGCACTGCTGGGCCCTCATTTTCCTTACAGTGTGTGCACAGGCCATGGAAGTCACAGATATTCGTGTTCACCTTGGGGACAAACATTTGTGTGAGTTATTCACCGATGTGTTGGGGCAGATGGGACAGGAGAGTATGAAAGATGGAAGAAAGACAGCGAGAAAGAGAGAAGATGAATTCTTTGATAAGGTTTCCTGCCCAGACACCGGTCCTCACGAGACTTCTGCCACCAATGCCCTTCCATCAAGAGCACATTTATTGTACATGTAGTGCCCTGCTTCATATTAGACTGCAGCACACACGCGTGGCATACGTGCAAATTCACGAATGGCCAGGCTTACACAGTAGACAGCAGTTGAAGTCGCATCATTGGCCGTGTAGCCACGGAGCCAGTACGTGCCTGATACGCACTGAGACACAATATGCATGCTGGAATAACAATTTCAGGCTGTTTCCGTACACCGCCTAACACCCCAAAGTCCAGCAAATGGGAGATACCAACAGTGCTGTCAACCTAAGTCACACATGCAAACACAGCAACCGACGTGCGCCTAGCCGGTGAGTGTAAAAATAACACACGATACTGTACGAGTATCAATGTACACACATGCATAGTCACTGGCTGTACGCAAAACACTGCAAAATACGGAAAATCAGAAGTCGCAGGACGGAAAACAGACCCAGTTGGCTGGCAGCACTGTACCGAGAATACCGGGACATCCACTGTTCAAACAGCTCTCTATACCCGGGCGTCCACTGCTCAATGCCCGGACTTGCACTGCTCACACAGCGCTAAATGCCCGGACATACATTACTCACGCAGCGCTCATTATCTGGACATACACTGCTCACACAGCGCTCAATATTCGGTCATAGACTGCTCAGTGACCAATGTCTGGACTGCCACACTGCTTCAAACAGCACTCAAAGCCTGGGGCAGAGCTCTCCAGCATAGAGAAATATGTGAAAAGGTCAATCATCCTACTCAAATGCACTAAATCAGCCCAAGGCCGACCAGAGCTAGACAGAAACAGAGCAGAACCAAGAGTACATGTACATTAAAGGGGAAGTTAAGGCAAAAATTAAAATTTCACCAGTTGCAGTCTTCGGGGTGCTGAGTCGAATGGTCTTGGTCCGAGAAAGCTGAGACGCTCCCTTCCTACTTGAATCCCAATCGAACTCGGGCACTTCCACCGAAACTGGGTGACTGCGCCCTACTAGATGGGGATTTGTATGCAAAATGTCAGTAAAAGCGCCATTTCGTTCTTATAAAAGCACGGATGACCGCGATTGGCCCATATGTTGTAGTCTTTTGGACGCTGAGTCGACTGGTTTTGGTCCGAAAAGGCTTCGATGCAGCATTCCTCCTTAATTCCCAATCGAACATGGTTGAACAAGCGGTCACGTGCTCCTGGGTGCCCAAATCACCTGGTCACCACGCCAGCAGGCGACAACTTTCACACCAAGGTTCAACTCGAGTGACAGGACTGCACCCAAAAAAGGTCAAACAGGCTAGTAAGTTGTACCCTGCAGGCACGGTGACCAGCGTACGCAGGAGCACGTGACCGCTTGTTCAACCATGTTCGATTGGGAATAAAGGAGGAACGCTGCATCGCAGCCTTTTCGGACCAAAACCAGTCAACTCAGCGTCCAAAAGACTACAACATATGGGCCAATCGCGGTCATCCGTGCTTTTACAAGAACGAAATGGCGCTTCTAGTGACATTTTGCATACAAATCCCCATCTAGTAGGGCGCAGTCACCCAGTTTAGGTGGAAGTGCGCGAGTTCGATTGGGATTCAAGTAGGAAGGGAGCGTCTCAGCTTCCTCGGACCACGACCATTCGACTCAGCACCCCGAAGACTACAACTGGTGAAATTTTAATTTTTGCCTTAACTTCCCCTTTAACACAAGAGGATGCAACTCCGCAGCTGGTCTGATTCACGGTGGAATTGTTTGTTAGTGTCTCCTGTTTCATAACGCATGGCGCATGCCGGACACCGCACACACATTGCTTGCCGATCTTCATCGGGAGTTTGTGTTCCTGCTGCTTTCAAAACAATTTTTTCCATTTTTCCACCTGCTGCTGCAGCTCTGAGCGGTGCGTTCACATACCAGCGGTCTCTGTTTCGTTGTTTTACAATCCCGTGTTGGGTCTTTGCGATGTGAGCGCACCGCTCAGGGGTCGGATTTCAGTTGCCAGCACTGTATAGGAGGCCTACAAAGAAGAGGTCGACAAACTGCCCGAAAAGTGCTTCATGTGGAGAGCGTTTGCACGTATGAAATAGTCCGATATGACTGCCTCTCTTTCAAAATATGCTCTGGAAAGCATTTATTTTATTGCCTTCTAGTCATCAGTAGGGGTAAGTCCCGTTCAATCATACACACAGCGGCATGCACTGAACCCGTACAACGGGTCGTAGACTGTGTACATTGTACACCGTACACAATGTACCACAGCTGGTTGCAACTGCCAAATATGGCACACATTGTCACTAAAAAGGAAGACGGTCATCTCCTCTGCAGATCTGGTCAAGAGTACCAGTACATCACACATAGTGTACAACACAGTTGGCCGCCGTTGTTGGCTGCCACCCTTCATCTCATTCTCACTATTCTCAGTCTAACGGCGAGCCAGGGAATGTGTAAATAAAATAAAACACCCGCATTGAGTCCTATCCCGACGACACCGACAGAGTTTCGCAAGTCGGCAGCATTTTTCACGATGCAATGCTCCTTGCAGGCGCGATTTCTACCACTTGCACAGCGGTGTCAACCCACCGTACGCGCTTTCTGGCACAAGCGTGCACGCGATCTAACGGCGATGCGTACGCCACTGGTCTAACATACTCGTACAGAGTGCATTGCATCGTGAAAACGATATCAATAAAATCTGTCTGGCCAGCACTGATAGAGGAGTTAGCCACTCGGTGGGTAGGGGCTATGTACAGTTGTGCTTGGTGAAATCCGACCCAAAGTGCATATTGAGCGCCCTCAATTTGCACGGCCCTTGTTGCCCTGGAAGTGGTACGAATGCAGCTGGACGTACACATGCACTGTACAAGTACAGTGATGAAATCGGAACTGTTCCTGGGCGTCAGTTTTGCACATTTTGGTTGTATTTCAGTGAGAGCAACTTTACATGTCTTTTTGCCTCAGTGCAAACCTCCCCATTACATCACTATCATGGAACTTGGTGCAGAGCATTCTGCAAACTGGCTAACTGTTAGGGGTGTGCACGGGTATTCGGGTACCCGTGCTACCCGTGAGGAGCTCGGGTAGTCTGGCACAGAATAGTACCCGAAGTCGCAGATGACATCATTATGACATGCACCGTGCACGTGTACAAATTCTCTGCATGTTCACCCCCAGTGTGTAAGGGGAGGGTGCATTATGGTGTTGCCATGGAAACATTCCCCTATCGGGTACCCGTGCTACCCGTGGAAAACTACCCGAACCCGATACCCGAAGAAAATGCTACCCGACTCAGCACTACTAACTATGAGTCTAAACATACTAGTACTGCAGAACACTTTATCTTCGGTGTACATGTGCCTTTCAGTACAGAAACCAGACATCTGACATTACAAGTAGATTTCACGTGACGCATTCCGGGCTACATGGCTTTACATCCACGTCTCGGCACAGGATGCTAAAAACAGGGCCAATGTCAAGCTCCACAACTCCAGGGTCCAGGCAACTGGGCAATCGGATCTTGTGACGTGGTAGCCAAGACGGTCAACATCACAGTGACATAATATTGAGTTCCAAAAGGAGAAACAAAGTTTTATAGGATACACAAGTTCGCCGAATTCGCATATGACCGGGCAAAGTCGGTAATTTCAGTTGAATCGTCGCACAGAAAAGAACACATCATGTAACGAAGCAGTATTTACATCCGCAACCCGTCGTACCGAGCGCAGGAACTGTACCAGCCGACCAGGGAAAACACCACATTCGAAACCGAGCCCAAAACGGCTATTCGTACTTGGATGCATACAGGCATCCTCGGCAAGGGGGTCATTCTAGGAGACGTATATACATGTACGTGAATGGGTTTAAAAGGCGCTAGAGGGCGCGGTGCGTGTGAAGAGACACGTCGGTCACCTAATTCTAAGTCACAGCTAAAATCCCTCCGACCGCTGACACCGGAATATAGTACACCTACGGTAACATGTCATGCAGTAGCCTAACAGACTCCCCAAGCCACCAGTCTTTACCCCCCGCTCTACCTTGCGGTTGAACACAGCCGCCATGCTGCATAGTGCGAGCCTGCCAATCGAAAACGAATCGATAGGTCCAACTAATGGACCTTATGCCATTTGTACAGATCCACAAAATCCCGCAGAATCCCGTAGACCCGGTAGGGTGTTGAATGTGCAGGACCCTATTGTGTTTTCTGCTATTTCCACTAAGGAATGGGGCTTAAGGAATTTCATACGAAAACCTTTTTCTGACAAAGATCTAGCTAGTCATTAGTTCTAACCAAAGTGAAGAAGCTGGAAAAGCGATTGCTGGTCATCGAATTATGACACTAAAAAGGTCAAATGCGCATGCATAGCACACAATGAACACCCTACCGGGTCTATGGGATTTCGTGGATCTGTACAAATGGCATAAGGTCGATTATGTTTGTGTGTGCGTGTGTGTTTGTGGGCGTACGTGTTGTTTTGCATACGGTATCTATGTCACACGATGCTAGATGCCAAGTCGCTATCCTTCACCCAGTCCAGGGAGGCGCTGTGACAACACGGTGGTCGTGCACCATCCGCATTGTAATTCGAAGTTATAACTGGTGTGACTATGACGCCAATCATCCAAAAGCGTTATCTGGTGATGTCAGCGGTGCGTTATGGAGGTCTTCCTGTGGAAAGTTAATCCTCTAGCTCTCTTGCAGGTAATATAGTAGTATTTTTTGTTTATTTAAATTACATCAGAATGTTTGAAATAAATAAGCATCATGGAACAAATGACCAGTGACACCGAGGAGACGAAGACGACAACAAAAACTATATAGACAATTCAAATTTCAGCAAGCATGCTCACCGACTCCTCGAACTCCTTCTTGGCGTTTTCTGTCTTCTCCTGCCACTCGACAACCTCCTGTTCGGCCTCAACTAGACGAGCCTCCAATGCGGTGGCCTTCGATTCTGCTGTGGTCAGGCGTCCGGCACAGCTCCGTTTCGCCTTCTCTTTGGTGTCGATGAGCGAATTGAGTTTGTTTGTCCGGTTGCCCTGACCCGAGGCAGAGGCATTGCAACTGCGGATCTGGTCGACGATTGATCGAAGCTCGCCGTCCATAGAGGCCACGGCATCATCGGCCTTGGAAACACGGTCATCAGTGGCCACGAGCTGATCCTCCAGGGTATCGATGCGCTTATTTAGGGTTTCTATGGTGGATGATGCATCGTCAGCAGCTTTCATTGCGGTGTTGTATCTGGCAGACATACTGTTTGACTTGGCATCGTCCTGGCCAGATAATTTCAAACTACGGCTAATTCTAATTTGACAGTCATCTATCTGGCTTCCAACCTCATTGAGGCTCTGTTGCATAGTGACCATGTTCTCCTGGGAAGTCTCCAGCCGAGACTCACAAGCGTCTTGCTTGGTGGCAATTTCGCTGAGCAGAGTGTCAGTGTCCGCAGACTTTCCCTGCGACTTCTCGACGCGCTCCTCCAAGGCGGCTACTCTGGCAAGGGCGTCATCACGCTCCTTGGTCAGCGTCTGCATCTTCAGCTTTATGGCCTGCATTTTGACTGTGTTGTGGGGCACACGCTTCGACCAGAAAACACCCACAACTAATAGAAAGCAAAAGAATATCGGAAACCACTGAGGTCTGTTCTTCCACACAAAGCGGCAATCCCGATCGGTGATATGATGACGACCTTTGGCAGGGGGAAAAAACTGACGAGCGCATGCGTCAACGATAATTTTTGCGCTGAAAACAAGGGCGTCGCGGTAGGGCCAGGCTTGTAGCGATAGCGAATATGGGCATGGGATTCTGATGGGATCGATCGAATGCTATCGGAGTAGTAAATTATCGGTGATTTACAACTGGTAACTACTTCCTGAGTACATATTACTGGAGAACGAAAGCAAAACTGCCAAAGACCCTGAATCGCCTGATCTACCCGACGTAACACCCTTTGAAGGGCCTTTCCCTCTTTTCCCTCTTTTGACGTCACACAATCTGTACGATTACGAAAGAAAAGCGTATGCAAAGCCCGCAAGCCGCCACCATGCAGACTACGAGCAGATCTACGATCAACTCAAACAAAAAGAGTCGATGTCAACCAGAACATTGTCAAAACACTCAAGTGACATTTTGCCCATTTCAATCCTTGGCTGAATCGATCTGAGAATATAGTTTCTGGCGAGCGGAGCTTGTACTAGTTGTAGGTAGCCATCATGAGCGCCGCCAAGGTGGACGTTCAGTGGTGTCGGCAAGTACCGGATGAGTTTGTCCACTATGGAGGTGACCGACTTCGCCTTTTTCGCGTATTTCCGCTGGTGAGTTGAATTGTGAATTGCAATTTTGTTGTTGAAAGATGTGTGAACTTCGACAGCACATGAAGTTGGAATTACACAAGTGTATTGAATCAAAGTGTTTAAACTCGATCTTGTCTGGCCATGTCTGCATCAATTGTATTCTTTATTACACTTATAAAATTGCTTTCTCCACGCTGACTCTTCGTATTTTGATTTTTTGGAATTGTTCGTAAACTCCATCGCAGCCACTTGAACCTCACTTAGATAATTATCATTACTCGTGAGTCCGTCTCCCAAACGGCCCCTACGAACGACTAATTATTATTTATTTTTTAAAATGATGCAATGTATCACACTTTGTACACAAGTTTGAGGGAGTTGAAAAGGGAAACGTCAGAAGATTATTTGAATGCCACCACCAGGATTGGAATAATTATACATTGCACATACTAGTAAAGGGGCTTTGTCAACTGACAACCGCTCTATTCAGTTGCTATTCACAATCTGTGCATGCGCTGCATTAAAAAATTCTTTTATTGTGATGTTGAAAAAAATTATTGACGTTTCGGGCCAGTCACCCATCGTCAGAACAGAGAATAGGAAAGTTCTGACGATGGGTGACTGGCCCGAAACGTCAATAATTTTCCACATCACAAAAGAATGTTTAATGCAGCGCATGCGCAGATTGTGAATAGCAACTGAATAGAGCGGTTGTCAGTTGACGAACCCCCTTTTCTTTCATAAATGCAGTTGCGTGATATCCACAACGTTCTTAGTGTACTGACTACTTGTAGGGCACAGTAATTTTAAAGCACTGGCACGGGCGCTGGCACGACGTATAGGGCTTGAAAGTGCTACGTCACAGCATAGCAACAATTTCAAAAATTCAAAAACTGGATCCACTTGGATCCAGTTTTTGTATGGATCCAAGCGCATTTCAAGCGGTCTTACTCACAGCAAGGTGATGTAGCCAGTGAAACGGACTGATTTGGCTAATAGGGGCGGGGTGACACCTGGTGGCGAAGTAAAAGTCACACATGCATACGGCATGAGAGTTGCTATGCACCCACATACTGAGGCAATAGCAAAGTCACACCTTAGTGGATCCAAAATAGAAATCTGATGTCAACTTACTACTCCCTGGCCATTTTTGACGTCATCACTTTGAAGTTTCAAGCCCTATTGCAGTGCTCGTAGAACTTCTAGTTGAGATCGATGTAAATCATACATGTACATGGATGTGCGGGCTCGTTTTCACCTGCTCGGGAGCCGTTCCAGAGCATGTGAGACGATTTGTGTTCGCTGTGCTGGCACAATATAGGTCGCAAATGTTCACACCAAACATCAGGGCCAACAAAGGGGGTACGACTTACAGTTGAGCATGATTTTTCTCACTTACTGCTGAAGTGGATATATTGAAACAGTATTGCTCAAATCTGGCAACGGGGTTGCGACTTACAATTGTGGAAATACGGTACAGTCTGCTGTTGGCTGTTCATTCACGCCTGACCTCTGTCTTTAGCTGCGTGAATCTGGTGAAACTCTCACTTTCTGCTCTCACCCTGGGTGGATCGATGGTGCCCAAGAGAAATGTTGCCATTATGTTGGTGCTAGTTATGTCGCAATGCCAGTTTGCACCCTTGAAGAGCTCACAGGGTTCTAGTGATGTATACGTGTGTGTGTGGGTGTCTGTTGATGTGTCTGTGTGTGTGTGTGTGTGTGTGTGTGTGTGTGTGTGTGTGTGTGTGTGTGTGTGTGTGTGTGTGTGTGTGTGTGTGTGTGTGTGTGTGTGTGTGTGTGTGTGTGTGTGTGTGTGTGTGTGTGTGTGTGTGTGTGTGTGTGTGTGTGTGTGTGTGTGTGTGTGTGTGTGTGTGTGTGTGTGTGTGTGTGTGTGTGTGTGTGTGTGTGTGTGTGTGTGTGTGTGTGTGTGTGTGTGTGTGTGTGTGTGTGTGTGTGTGTGTGTGTGTGTGTGTGTGTGTGTGTGTGTGTGTGTGTGTGTGTGTGTGTGTGTGTGTGTGTGTGTGTGTGTGTGTGTGTGTGTGTGTGTGTGTGTGTGTGTGTGTGTGTGTGTGTGTGTGTGTGTGTGTGTGTGTGTGTGTGTGTGTGTGTGTGTGTGTGTGTGTGTGTGTGTGTGTGTGTGTGTGTGTGTGTGTGTGTGTGTGTGTGTGTGTGTGTGTGTGTGTGTGTGTGTGTGTGTGTGTGTGTGTGTGTGTGTGTGTGTGTGTGTGTGTGTGTGTGTGTGTGTGTGTGTGTGTGTGTGTGTGTGTGTGTGTGTGTGTGTGTGTGTGTGTGTGTGTGTGTGTGTGTGTGTGTGTGTGTGTGTGTGTGTGTGTGTGTGTGTGTGTGTGTGTGTGTGTGTGTGTGTGTGTGTGTGTGTGTGTGTGTGTGTGTGTGTGTGTGTGTGTGTGTGTGTGTGTGTGTGTGTGTGTGTGTGTGTGTGTGTGTGTGTGTGTGTGTGTGTGTGTGTGTGTGTGTGTGTGTGTGTGTGTGTGTGTGTGTGTGTGTGTGTGTGTGTGTGTGTGTGTGTGTGTGTGTGTGTGTGTGTGTGTGTGTGTGTGTGTGTGTGTGTGTGTGTGTGTGTGTGTGTGTGTGTGTGTGTGTGTGTGTGTGTGTGTGTGTGTGTGTGTGTGTGTGTGTGTGTGTGTGTGTGTGTGTGTGTGTGTGTGTGTGTGTGTGGTAGTGTTGTGTTTAGCACCACATCACCTGGTATGTACGTGTGTGTTTACCACCATCACTTCTCACATATGTATAGAGCTGTGCAGTGAAGTCACAGCATCAGTATATGATGCAGTAGGAATGAATAGAAGGATCCGGTGCCAAGTGCATCTTTGTTGTGCTCTCTTTCTACACTCTGTGTTTCTTTTCTCTATCTCTGTGTTGTCTCTCTCTCTCTCTCTCTCTCTCTCTCTCTCTCTCTCTCTCTCTCTCTCTCTCTCTCTCTCTCTCTTTCTCTCACCCTCTTTCTCTCCCCCTCTCACTCCCTTGCTTTTGTTTTTCTTTCTGGCCAGCCTCCTGGAGACAGGAAAGTGGTTGGATCTCAAGGTAAGGATACAAGCTGTAAACTGGCTTCGTATTCTGAGGTGTTGGTGTTGTGGCAGCAGGTTTGGTTTCTGTATCCTGGGTGCGACTAGTGCCGTTGATGCTGATACTCATGGCTGAGGATACTGCTGCTGTGCATGCCTGTTGGTCATGGCTGCTGCTACTGCTGCTGCTGCTGCTGCTGTTACTACTGCTGCTGCTGCTGCTGTTGCTGCTGCTACTGATGCTGCTGATGCTGTTGCTGCTGCTGCTACTGCTGTTTGACACAGTATCTTTATGCAAGCTCAACAAAATGTGAGAACAAAACGGAAACGCAGGAACGCAACACATTCGAATGGAAACAAAATGAGTGCCAATAGTCGCGTTTGCATGCCACTCAGGAATGGATGGTGATCAGCTGCTGCTGCTACTGCAGCTACTCATGGCTTTGGTTATGATTCGTTCAGTCATTGGTGCTGCTGAGGATTGGTTGGCTCGTTGCTTTGTTCATTTCGGCCGCTGTAATGTTTCGTTGTTGATACGATATCTAGAATTATCACTCACGTATGCCCATTGGTATGTTCTGTGTGTGTGTGTGTGTGTGTGTGTGTGTGTGTGCACGCACGCACGCGTGTGTATGTGTGTATGCGTGTGTGTGTGTGTGTACATGCTTGTGACAATGTACATGTGTGCATGGCTGTGTGCATATGTTCACCAGTGCTGTATGTGGCAGATGGCCGCTATGCATCTCTCGTTGCGATGAATGCCACCGTTCCCAATGCCAAGGTGAGACTCCAGTTCACCATCGTTTTCATTCACATCGCTTGTAATACACACACTTAGAAAAGAAGGAATCAAAGCCTTTCTACTGAAACTTTGAGTTTCACAGTTTTATCGATCATCAGACAGCAACTTGACTACAAGTTACCGAAGGTGTGATTGATATAGGCTGCAGCAAGCTTAGATTATAGCACGAGCGAATGATACAGGCTAACAGTGTGATATGCACATGATTGTGTCACTTGTAATACTGATGTTCAACTTGCGAAACCTCATCTGTTCGAGCAGTCAGACAGTCGTATCGCCGAGCATCCCAAACTCTAGCTTTTTACCGACGCAAGGAATGGCGAATTTTCGACATTGCATCCAGAGAACATTGTGTTGTCTTCGCCCGTGGCAGGGTCCTTGAAAGTAGGACTCTCGGTAACCAGCAAGACTAAGAGTATCAATATGCTTGATAACTGTTCTTCTTGTACGTGTGCGTGTATGCGCGTGCTCGCTCGCACGCGCGTGTGTGTATGTGTGTGTGTGTGTGCGTGCACGCGTGTGTGCGCTATGTGTTCGGCTGCGTCTGTTCCCGCTCGGAAGTGTCTGTCGTGGAGTCCGGTGAAGGAGAGGCCGCATTTCGTTGCTGCTGGCCAGCAAAATGGACGCGTTATGGTCACCGGGTAGGTCACTATGTGCATGTCGCTGTATGTCACTGCATATCACTGCATATCACTGCATGTCGCTGTATGTCGCTGCATGTCATTGTATTCAACACCCTGTAAAGCCCTACAAAGCCATGGCTGACCCTGGCGGGATTATACGGTAGAACACTAAAAAAATTATTTTTGGCGCCTATGACATCAGGAGATGGCCCACGCCTGGTAAAAAAAAAAAAAACGACAAAAAAAACAATGAGGAGCTACAGTGATAAGAACAATTAAAGCATTAAAGACAGTCGATGCAGTGCGGCGCGCACATGTTTGTTTGAGTGCTACGCACATGCCTCATTGTACGGTAGTGGTGTAAGAAGTAGCATGCGTGTGGATACAGTAGATCTAAGTGCGTCCATGGCCCGTGAAGTAAATAGCAACTAGACTTCGACCTTGTCTACAGATTTATATTTATCATAGATACTTGGACTACAGTGAAAACCTGATAGGACATACCCACAAGCGAACACGGTAAAAGTACTTCCTAGCCAAAGTACTTGCTACACCCGCCCTGCAATCAAGTGTGCCAATTTTTTTCGTCAACTGCAAAACGTGCGTACTAGACAATAGTACGTCTTACATAAAATATGTGTGTACGAAGGGCGCGTTCAGACTACCGTGAATCCCGTCAAACCGTGAATAACGATAAACCGTGAAGGACATTCACCCCACCGATAACAAACTAACGTTTTGCAGCTCTCACCGCGGCACTGGCAAGGGATTTTCCCTTTTTCCCAACGCGCATGCAGCCTGAGCACTTTTTTACTGCTGGAAATTTGTTACTGCCGCAGCAGCCGCGGCAGTAAAACTTTCCCACCGGTAACGTGCCAGTAACGTCACGTGATCAAATCACCTTGGCGACTTTCCCATTCCGTCACTTTTTATCGGTACTCTGAACGCGCCCTAAGGGGCCGTCCGCAAATATCGAACGTTTTTCACCAAACGAATTATTTTAGTTTAGACCCAACCCCTCCCTCCCTCCCCCTCAGAACGTAAAAAAAGTTTGACATATGCATGCATAATACAACAAAAGTTGCAAGTGTGTAACTGCTCCTATGGGCATGTACATGTATCAATGTTTTCTGAAACGAAATTGGTCAACCCCCTCCCACCCCATAACGAAATTATTTCGTTTCGTGAAAAAAGTTCGATAATTGTGGACGACCCCTAAGCGGTTTAGACTGTACATGTACTGTATTCATGTACTGTATTGGAAGTGAATGAAGAGGTGCTTAGTTCTGTGAAGTTTCAGGAGTGGTGCACTTTCGCTCTGACTTGTCTCCGCCGACCATGGTAGACGTCGAGACCAGTTTTGCACACGATGTTTGATCCTACTCTGCTACCTCTCTGTATGGTGTGTGCATGTCTGGGCATTTGAGCTGTACAATGTTTGATGCTCCTGTGGCACCTCTATAATTATGGTGATTGCTTGTTTGGGCATTTGAGCTGTACAATGTTTGATGCTCCTGTGGCACCTCTATAATTATGGTGAGTGCTTGTTTGGGCATTTCAGCCGCACAATGTTTGACTCTACTCTGCCACCTCTCTGTGTTGTATTTAGGTTTGGTACTGATGAAAAAGGACAGCCGCCATCATTTGGTGTAGAACTAAGTATGTGCGCTCACTATCTGACTGTTCTCCTTCACTACTCGTTGCTGCCTGGAAATTCTGATGATGTCTGTTCTATCGCCACTGCTATCGCTGCTGCTGCTTCTGCTGCTTTTATTACTGTCTCTCTGTCGCAGCCAGCCTGCAGTCTTGAGTCCCTTACTAATGTGTGTGTGTGTATGTATGTGTGTGTACGTGTGTGCGCGTGGATGCACGCATGTGTGTGTGTGTGTGTTTGGGTTTGTGTGTGCATGTGTGTGCATGTGTGTGTGTGTTTGTGTACGCGTATATGTGCGTGTGCATGTGTGTGCGCGTGCGTACATCATGCGTACATCATGTCTGTTTCTGAATGTTTAGTTCCACGCAGCCCTCGTCCATGCCTCACAGTCGACTGGAACCCCAATCATCATCACCTGGTGGGTCTCTCTCTCTCTCTCACTGACACGCACACACACACACACACACACACACACACACACACACACACACACACACACACACACACACACACACACACACACACACACGCACACACAGTCCCTCACACACATACAATCCGTCGCTCTCAAACTATGACCAACTCGTTTCTTTGGCTTACTTTGTAATTTTGAAGTTCTTGATCACAAAAGTACTTTATGCACGCGTGCGCATGTATGTCTGTGCATGTTTGCATTTTTTGTTCACATGGCAGATAGCGGTGGGCTTGGAGAGAGCCAGAGCAGATTTCTCGCTCCTGGTCTGGGATATCAACGAAGCAGGCAAGAAAAGTAAGCAGTGTGCGCATTGTGCTAACGTATGGTTCTATGTTTGCGAATGTTGCTGTTTACAGGGAATCCAGTGCCTTTTATGCTGTCCTCGTTGCATTTTTTTCGTTTTCCGTGTGTGTACGTGTGTGCGTGCGTGTCTTCTGGGTGTTTGTGTGCGCGTGTTTGTGTGTGTGTGTGTGTGTGTGTGTGCGTGTGCGTGTGTTTGCTCAGGTGTTCTGGACGGTCAAACCTCTTTCCTGTAAGTTGATTCCACTTACTTAAACTTGCCTGTAACAAATTCCGTGGTACATCTATAGCAAGCCGTTTTCTATGTTTGCTTTACACCCTGCCGGTATAAGAATTGTGTGTGTGCGTGCATGTGTGTGTGTGTTCGTATGCGTGTGTGTGCGTGCGTATGTAGCAGTCGCTCGGTTACAGAAGGCTCTATATCGGCGGTTACTCACACTGTGTTTGAACAAGGTGAGCAGCATTCAGTAAACAATGAGCAAAAGTTTAGCTTGTCCTTCGGCTGACAGTTTTTCTAGGTGCTTATCCCTGCTGGATGAGGCAAATGGGAGTTCAGCCTTTGGCCTCTACATGTAGTTGGTGTGTCTGATCTATTCTCTCCCACAGTTTAGGAGCTGCATCTGACGCCTGATCATGGGGTGGTATTATTATTAGTATTAAGTTTATTTGAGGGATGGCCCAGACGGCCAGAGGCGAGTAGCCTATCCAGGGATTCTCCACTTGTGCGATATTGAATGGGGAGCATACCAGGGGCGGTGGTGTCCCACGTGTGTGCACGTGCGTGACTGTAGTGCGTTTGTCATGATGACGTTGGGGCATGCGTAGACACTATGTATATACGGCGGCAGGGGGTGGAAATTGAATGGATAGCGTCCTAAAGAGGCGATGATGCATGGTGTGAGGTTCATGCCAGCACTGTTCCTCAACCCGACTCTCTGGCAAACCAAGTTGAAAAGCAAGCTTCCCTTCCTTCATTTGCGCGCGCGCGCGCGCGTGTGTGTGTGTGTGTGTGTGTGTGTCCGTGTTATTTGATGTCCACAGCTCATGGTGAGGCCACGGTGTCGGTGTGTTGGGTCCCCCACCAGCCTTCCACTCTGGTTGCCGGCATGGGCCAGAAGAACTTGAAGATCTATGATCTACGCGGTGAGTTTGTGTGCGTTTTAAAGTGGCAGGAGAGTAGCCCAACTGGTTCATTGTGTGTTAAAGCAATGTGGACCCTGGCTAGCGCCAGACGTTGCTGAAGTAACGTCTTCATAGCTACGGGAATAAATGCTGTTTACTTCTAATGCAAACCGCTGCTTTATTACTGTGCATGGCTGGTAGCATGGACGGGGTACACCGGGTAATGCTGTGTCAGAACAGTGTTTTGTTAGTGCTACTGTGCAGTGCGGATAGCTGCATGTAGAACCTAGATTGGCGTCCGTAACCACTTGCAGTGCATCATAGACCAGACCCCCTCCCCCCTGAGTGGTGAGTCTGTGATCAATGAGTGAGTTACACCCCCTGAAAAGTGACACTGTGATCAGGACATGGGCTAGAAGCATGCTGGCATTATGACTGATGGGAACAGCGACTAGTGCTCCTGAACGCAAGACTGGCAGTGACCGGGAAATGGATTACTAGGATACCGGGCTCTTTGCTCACTGGCCTCTCTGCAGCTCTCTGAAGCGCAGGAACTGTGTGTGTGTATGTATGTGTGTCTATCGGTCTATCTATCTGTCTGTCTGTCTATTTATCTGTTTGTGTGTGCACGCTATACAGATGAGTCGTTCCGTCCCAACAGTGCCACCAACTCGCGAGCCGTTAACGGTATCTGTATGGACCCACTGGATGGCATCCCATGCTGATGTACGTACCCCTCCACGGCTACTGTCCTGGACATGGAAATCCGGTCGAATGACGCAGGGCCGGCGCCCTCAGTGCGTGCAGAATGCTGCATGCACAGTGCACATGTACATGTACATGTGAACACAATAATAGAAAAGCTGACAGGATCGCTTTTCTAAATGTTGATCGCAGTGCACATGTACATATGTACTCCCGGCTGCATGGCCAGCGCCCTGGGGCCGCTTGACCTCCTACCGGGGTTCTTCGACAGTACAACCTCTTATTATTTTACTGAGCACGAGAACAACAGCAACAGCACTAGCATAATCAGCAATAGCAGCTGCAGCACCGGTAGCAGTAACAGCAGCAGCAGCATCATCAATAGCAGCAGCAATAGCAGAAACAGCAGCAGCAGCAGCTGCAATAGTAGGAGCAGCAGCAGCAGCAGTAGTTTATTTTTCTTGTCCGATGGCTGTGTCATTTTCTGCTAGGGGGCTTAATTTAAGTTCTGCCATGTGACCTTTAACTGCAGTACGAATCAGTGTCGTTTTGGGCAGGCCGTGTCCCTTGTTGAGAAAGTTAAGATGGAACAGCTTGTTGTTTTCCTTGTCATAATAGAAAATTAATTTTGTCCATAACTCTTTTTCCATCCTTTCCCTGCAGAATGCCGTCTTGATTTGGGATCTCCGCAATTTTGACCGACCAATATCCTCTTGATGCTGCTGTTGATGCCTACGCTGCTGTGTGTGTGTGTGTGTGTGTGTGTGTGTGTGTGTGTCTCTCTCTCTCTCTCTCTCTCTCTCTCTCTCTCTCTCTCTCTCTCTCTCTCTCTCTCTCTCTCTCTCTCTCTCCCTCTCTCTCTCTCTCTCTCTCTCTCTCTCTCTCTCTCTCTCTCTCTCTCTCTTTCTCTCTCTTTCTCTCTCTCTCTCTCTCTCTCTCTCTCTCTCTCTCTCTCTCCTCTCTCTCTCTCTCTCTCTCTCTCTCTCTCTCTCTTTCTCTCTCTTTCTCTCTCTCTCTTCTCTCTCTCTCTCTCTCTCTTCTCTCTCTCTCTCTCTCTCTCTCTCTCTCTCTCTCTCTCTCTCCTCTCTCTCTCCCTCTCTCTCTCTCTCCACACACACACTCTCACTATCTCCCTCACTATCTCCTCTCACTGTCCCATCTCTTTCTCTATTGCTAAGTCTATCTCTCTCCTCTCCTATTCTGTCTTTCTGCTTAGATACGTATTCAGCCATGACATCATGATTGCATGCTTTTTTTGTGGAGAATTTCTAGGTTTGTCTGGCATTTCCCTTGACCTTGTTGGTGTTTGCTGTTGCACGTCATGACTATTACTAAGCATGCCTGGACAGGTGTGTCCAAGATTGCCTGGTCACCTACAAGGTAAGGCATCTGTGTTGTGCGTGCGTGTGTGTGTGTGTGAGCGCACACGCTTGAGTGCATGCATAATATTGCATACACGCATGTGTGCGTGCATGCACCAGGTGCATGTACAGTCGACCTACCCTTATAACGATAACCTCTATAACGATATTACCCTTATAACGATATTTTTCTGCCAAACCAAATCACTCCATTGACTTCTGTATACAATGCCCTACCCTTATAACAATATTGCTATAACGATATTACCCCTATAACGATATAAAATGGGCTGACCAATCAACATTTTCCATTTTATAACAATATCTAGCAGGGAAGATGTAGAGCCCACTATCCAGGTAGGGCAAGCTTCACTTGATAAGTCGCTGGGACCTGACGAAATGCAATGGGGGCACCAGTGGGCACCTTGCTGTGTACATAATGTGCATGTATGTCAGTTTTTTATGCTATAAAGAGTGTAAAAAATGAACAAAATCCATGCATTATGACGTATGTGTATGAAATGAACCAGTTACCCCTATAACAATATTACCCTTATAACAATATTTCTTGGTCTGACGCAAATATCGTTATAAGGGTAGGTCGACTGTATAAGGGAGGAACAGATCGGAATTCGCTCTCTTGGCCACTTCGTCTCTTGGCCAATTGGCCTCTGGGCCTCTTGATTCCCTAGTGAAAGCCAAGGCAATAATGATGCTATTTTAGTATTTGTCTAGTAGTAGGATGAGGTTAAGTATCTCTGCAACCCATCAAGCTTTGCTTTGTACGTGCGGCATGCAAATTGGGAGAAGGACGGCAGAACAGATGGGTGGATAGATGGGTGGGTGGGTGGAGGGGTGGATGGATGGATGGGTAGATAAGTGAGTGGATAGGTGGGTGGGTGGATGGATCGATGGATGGGTGGGTGGATGATGGGTGGGCGTCCGTCCGTCCGTCTGTCTTCCAGCCCGGTTCTCTGTTCGCCTGTCTCTCTGCGAATGCGCATGTGTGCATCATGCATAGCACCACCATCCCACACCGTCTTGTTCTAGTAGTGCAGTCCGCATTCACCTTGTCACTACTCATGTACCTCTTGTCCCGTTTCCTCACCCCGTGCTCTTGTGCAGACGTGGCAACTTGGCAATACTGGCAAAGGACGCTGCTGTCGTTCGGCTGTTTGACGTTCAGCACGCCCCGTTCGGTAAGAGTGCCATGCTCATTGTGCTCCTCTCTAAAAGCTCAAACCAGTTTAAATTTGTTAAGCGGTCTACTGAATCTAGAGATCTGGACATTTGAAAGGCACTGACTGTATACCAGTAACAAGAGTACATAACCCCCCAGAGTGTGCAACGCCTGATCCAGCTCTGCACAGGGTCTTGGTCGAGCGATGTTTTTGATCCGAGAGTCTCCGCGACTTCCCGGTTTCCCTCAGATGTGTACGGTATTATGACGCAAAGATCCGACTACGCTCGACCAAGACCCTATGCAGAGCTGGATCAGGCGTTGCACACTCTGGGAGGAGGTTATGTACTTGGATTGGATTGGATTTTTTAATAGTGGTGACTATAACAGATAATTGCCTAATAACAATAGACCCACTCGAGGGAAAGATGTAAAAAGATAAGAATAATTTTAAAACATAATGACTACTCTTGGTACCGGTATGTGCTATCCAGCACTCTTTCGACTACTTTTTGCATTGCACACCGTGGCGACATCAGCCCCGAGTGATTCGTCGGGATTTTCTACCACTGCCTGTACGTTACTGTCACAGTCGTCCCTCTTTAATCCAGCACTTTATAAACCAGTACCTTCTGTGAAGCCAGCATAACTGTCATTGACCAAAATGGCCTTTTCATGTACTTTGGCGCAATACATCAGATTTGTTAATCCAGCACCCTCCCTAATCCAGCAGAATTTCCGTAGCACAAATGGTGCCGGATTAGAAAGGTACATGCAGAGTTGACTTTCGAGGGCGATTTCATTCTTATCCGGCACTTGCCTTCTCTCTCTCTCTCTCACTCTCTCTCTCCCCCCTCTCTCTCTCTCTCTCTCTCTCTCTCTCTCTCTCTCTCTCTCTCTCTCTCTCTCTCTCTCTCTCTCTCTCTCTCTCTCTCTCTCTCTCTCTCTCTCTCTCTCTCTTGCTCTCTCTCTCTCTCTCTCTCACACTCTCTCTCTCACACTCTCTCTCTCTCGTTTTATATCCCCCCCCCCCCCCCCGGGCTACACATCATTCCTGCTCTGAATCCCGTGCTGCCTTTGTTGGTCTCTCTCCTCTGTTGTTCCTCGTCCTCAGAGGCAGACTTTATTCAAGGTGCCGACGTCACGGACGCAATTGTGGAGCAAGTCGTTTTGAGTAGGTTGACTTGAATTTGAGTAGTATAGGACTGAAGATAGTCACTCCGCCACTCCTCTGAGTACGGTGTTAGGTTATATTCATTGGAATTTGTCTAGGTTTTGACTGGTTTGAGTCAGATCAGCCAGGTTTGGTGTTGCCTCTTTCCGACTATCATTTGTTTTATCTCAATCCTGGTACTGGCAGAGTTACTCAGGATAGCAACTGTGTGTGTGTGTACGTGTGTGTGTGCATGCGCATGTGTGTGTGTACATGTGTATACGTGTGTGTGTGTGTGTGTGTGTGTGTGTGTACATTTGTGTACGTGTACGTGAGTGCACGTGTATGTCTGTGCATGTGTATGTGTGTATTTGTATGTGTGTGTGTCTACATGTGTACAGAGAAAGGCGAGGGCTTCTTCTCCTCCTTCAACTGGCATCCGTCGTACAGCAATCGCATGTTAGCCGTCAGCGGGTCAGGTGAGTTCAGCGGGCCCTCGGTCAAACCATAAACTTGTAGACCTGACTATGCTGGTGTCTCTCCTGTTTTGGCTACCATCTCCCACACTTATCACCACCAAGAGTTTACCGAAACCCCGCCAATAGTAATCTTGTGATTTTTGAAGCAATAGATGACGGGCTATTTGTGCCCATTTTCCAAACATTTTTTCCCCCCAGTCCCTTGCCCAGCGCTCCCCTCTTCGTCCTTGTCCCATGTCATTCTCACTTTCTCCCACGGGGCTAAAGTTCTACCGTTTGGCCTTTGGCTTGTAGAAATCAGTGTCATCTAAGGTAGTCTGTGTCCCTTGTTGAACAAGTGAAGACAGACCAATGTGGGATACCTTCCGACGTCCCTGTACAGTAAAGCATGTAGCATGTCAGTAGTAGTTATACACAGGGATAATCATAATACCGTCTCTGGTCAACACAGGCAGCACCTTTGCACAACCAGCATCCCCGGAGTACGTCTGTGCACGGTGCTCGTTTTACAAACTAATCAAATTTCAGACATTTTAGGTTCTCGGAATTTTAGGCGCTCAAAATGGCAGACGACCAGGTTGGGTGAGCGGAAGTCTTAGGGTGTCATCGATTGGCGAATCTGGATTGAGTGCAAACAGTTGGTGTGGTCCGAGCAACACTCGCCCATATCGTACAAAGATTCTGTGGAAGCTGTCACAAAACGTCAAAGTCCTTTTCCAGTCCAGCCACTTCCGGTGTGAGGGCCGGTGTGGTCGGATTCCACTCCGGACTTGGCGTAACGATCACGCTCACTCGGGATTCGCCCAATCGATCATGCCCGCAGCTACAGAGACGCAGTTCCCTGTTGCATGATGTGCGTCAGTGTTAAAGTGTGTGCGGCTGTTGAAATCTTAGGTATTTTATATAGATGCACCGAACGTACTGAAATAAATGTAAAGTTTGGGTGGGTGTGCGTGCGACTGTGTGTGTGTGTGTGTGTGTGTGTGTGTGTGTGTGTGTGTGTGTGTGCGTGTGTGCGTGTGTGCGTGTGTGAATGGTCGAGATCGTTCGGCAGATATCGCTCAGCAAGAGCTTTGCTTCTCTTTCAGAAATTGTTCAACAATGATTGTGAAGGTTTCACTCCATGTTCTCTTCTTGCCATTACTGGTCTTGAGGAGTGAGCACTGGAGAACCTTGTTCTCTGGTTCAACTCCAGTGTTGACTTTGACGTAGCGCAAGCCAGACTGCGCAAGCCTGTCAGCCTGTTTACCGCTGTTCAGGCTTTGTCTCCATTCCAGTCTTGGTTACAGTCTCTCGGCCATCCTTATCAAGCTTGTTCTCGGTGGAAGTCACACAGGGACTTCATGTCTGACGAAACTTGAAACGAGAGGACGACTAGAGATTGCGGACAGAAACTGTGGGCGAAGGCCACGCAAGACGAGTCCAGAACGTTACAGGATAGAACAATTTCTATCACCGCTGCCATCACTGTTGTATCTGGACTTTCTTCACTTGCCCCAGCCCCGTGCCATCTCCACACCTAGACAATGAATGGGATAACTACATTGGAAAGACTGTTTATTATGAGAAGACGACGGAAGCACAACTAGACAAGACGAACTGAAGACGAAGACTGCTTTTCACACCACAGCAACACGTGTATGCACCAACAGGACGGACACAAAATAGCAATTCCAGTGCCAGGGAGTCCCTCCTCAATGGCGATCACTTCGGCTTCGGAATAGTCAGTCGTGAAATACTTGGGTTTCCCTTTTCGTGATGGAGTTCGCTCTTTGATAATGATGACAGTGTTTTGTCTCCATTCAAGCCTTGATTTCCATCTTTCATCCGCCGTTGCCAAGCGTGTTCATGGTTCAAGTCACACATGAATATTCTACTGTCAGTGAGTGCCTCCTCGATGTTGAGCATTGCGGCTTCCGAATAGTCGGTCATAAAATACTTCGGTTTCCATGGCGGAGTGCCCCCTCAATGGCGGGCTTTTCGACTTCCGAATAGTCGGTCATGAAATACTTCGGTTTCCATCGTGGAGTGCCTCCTCAATGGCGAGCATTGCGGCTTCCGAATAGTCCGTCATGAAATACTTCGGTTTCCATCATGGAGTGCCTCCTCAATGGCGAGCATTGCGGCTTCCGAATAGTCCGTCATGAAATACTTCGGTTTCCATCGTGGAGTGCCTCCTCAATGGCGAGCATTGCGGCTTCCGAATAGTCCGTCATGAAATACTTCGGTTTCCATCGTGGAGTGCCTCCTCAATGGCGAGCATTGCGGCTTCCGAATAATCCGTCATGAAAAACTTCGGTTTCCATCGTGGAGTGCGTCCTCAATGGCGAGCATTGCGGCTTCCGAATAATCCGTCATGAAAAACTTCGGTTTCCATCGTGGAGTGCCTCCTCAATGGCGAGCATTGCGGCTTCCGAATAATCCGTCATGAAAAACTTCGGTTTCCATCGTGGAGTGCCTCCTCAATGGCGAGCATTGCAGCTTCCGAATAATCCGTCATGAAAAACTTCGGTTTCCATCGTGGAGTGCCTCCTCAATGGCGAGCATTGCGGCTTCCGAATAATCCGTCATGAAAAACTTCGCTTTCCATCGTGGAGTGCCTCCTCAATGGCGAGCATTGCAGCTTCCGAATAATCCGTCATAAACAACTTCGGTTTCCATCGTGGAGTGCCTCCTCAATGGCGAGCATTGCGGCTTCCGGATAGTCCGTCATGAATACTTCGGTTTCCATCGTGGAGTGCCTCCTCAATGGCGAGCATTGCGGCTTCCGAATAGTCCGTCATGAAAAACTTCGATTTCCATCGTGGAGTGCCTCCTCAATGGCGAGCATTGCGGCTTCCGAATAATCCGTCATGAAAAACTTAGGTTTCCATCGTAGAGTGCGTCCTCAATGGCGAGCATTGCGGCTTCCGAATTGTCCGTCATGAATACTTCGGTTTCCATCGTGGAGTGCGTCCTCAATGGCGAGCATTGCGGCTTCCGAATAATCCGTCATGAAAAACTTCGGTTTCCATCGTGGAGTGCCTCCTCAATGGCGAGCATTGCGGCTTCCGAATAGTCCGTCATGAAATACTTCGGTTTCCATCGTGGAGTGCCTCCTCAATGGCGAGCATTGCGGCTTCCGAATAATCCGTCATGAAAAACTTCGGTTTCCATTGTGGAGTGCCTCCTCAATGGCGAGCATTGCGGCTTCCGAATAATCCGTCATGAAAAACTTCGGTTTCCATCGTGGAGTGCCTCCTCAATGGCGAGCATTGCGGCTTCCGAATAATCCGTCATGAATAACTTCGGTTTCCATCGTGGAGTGCGTCCTCAATGGCGAGCATTGCGGCTTCCGAATAATCCGTCATGAAAAACTTCGGTTTCCATCGTGGAGTGCCTCCTCAATGGCGAGCATTGCGGCTTCCGAATAATTCGTCATGAAAAACTTCGGTTTCCATTGTGGAGTGCCTCCTCAATGGCGAGCATTGCAGCTTCCGAATAATCCGTCATGAAAAACTTCGATTTCCATCGTGGAGTGCCTCCTCAATGGCGAGCATTGCGGCTTCCGAATAATCCGTCATGAAAAACTTCGGTTTCCATCGTGGAGTGCCTCCTCAATGGCGAGCATTGCGGCTTCCGAATAGTCCGTCATGAAATACTTCGGTTTCCATCGTGGAGTGCCTCCTCAATGGCGAGCATTGCGGCTTCCGAATAATCCGTCATGAAAAACTTCGGTTTCCATTGTGGAGTGCCTCCTCAATGGCGAGCATTGCGGCTTCCGAATAATCCGTCATGAAAAACTTCGGTTTCCATCGTGGAGTGCCTCCTCAATGGCGAGCATTGCGGCTTCCGAATAATCCGTCATGAATAACTTCGGTTTCCATCGTGGAGTGCGTCCTCAATGGCGAGCATTGCGGCTTCCGAATAATCCGTCATGAAAAACTTCGGTTTCCATCGTGGAGTGCCTCCTCAATGGCGAGCATTGCGGCTTCCGAATAATTCGTCATGAAAAACTTCGGTTTCCATTGTGGAGTGCCTCCTCAATGGCGAGCATTGCAGCTTCCGAATAATCCGTCATGAAAAACTTCGATTTCCATCGTGGAGTGCCTCCTCAATGGCGAGCATTGCGGCTTCCGAATAATCCGTCATGAAAAACTTCGGTTTCCATCGTGGAGTGCCTCCTCAATGGCGAGCATTGCGGCTTCCGAATAATCCGTCATGAAAAACTTAGGTTTCCATCGTAGAGTGCGTCCTCAATGGCGAGCATTGCGGCTTCCGAATAGTCCGTCATGAATACTTCGGTTTCCATCGTGGAGTGCGTCCTCAATGGCGAGCATTGCGGCTTCCGAATAATCCGTCATGAAAAACTTCGGTTTCCATCGTGGAGTGCCTCCTCAATGGCGAGCATGGCGGCTTCCGAATAATCCGTCATGAAAAACTTCGGTTTCCATCGTGGAGTGCGTCCTCAATGGCGAGCATTGCGGCTTCCGAATAGTCCGTCATGAAATACTTCGGTTTCCATCGTGGAGTGCCTCCTCAATGGCGAGCATTGCGGCTTCCGAATAGTCCGTCATGAAATACTTCGGTTTCCATCGTGGAGTGCCACCTCAATGGCGAGCATTGCGGCTTCCGAATAGTCCGTCATGAAATACTTTGGTTTCTATCGTGGAGTGCCTCCTCAATGGCAAGCATGGCGGCTTCCGAATAGTCCGTCATGAAAAACTTCGGTTTCCATCGTGGAGTGCCTCCTCAATGGCGAGCATTGCGGCTTCCGAATAGTCCGTCACAAAATACTTCGGTTTCCATGGTGGAGTACCTCCTCAATGGCGAGCTTTTCGACTTCCGAATAGTCAGTCATGAAGTACTTGGGTTTCCAGGGTGGAGTTTGCTCTTTGGTGATGCTGAGAGCTCCTGCGGTGTCAGTGAGTGTGTTCGATTACGCACTTGAATCGATTCATGAATGGAATCTCGCTGTTCGATTTCATGTCGTGAGCCCTGGAATCGATTCGGAATCCATTCAACCCACTCACATGGGGTGATGTGAATAACTTAGCCAGGCGCGATTCATGAGTGAATTCATGAATCGATTCGCGAGCATAATCGATTGCACTCACTGTGGGGGGTTGAAAAGTGGGAATATTCAATGACAAGAATTTCGAAGAGCCGCTATTTGAAGAGGAGTTGAGCGGAGCCGTTGGGATTTGAGAGGCAAAGTTGGGTGCCAATGTAGAGTAACACTTGGTGTAAGCCACCTCTGGGTTTAGCAACCACCTGCTCTTAACCACCATTTTTCCATGCACCGGCAGTTCTACACAGACACTGTGGGACCTGGTTCTAAAGACCACCTGGCTTTAACGACCGCTTTTGCTTGCACCGTGGGGTGGTCGCTTAAACCAGGTTTTACTGTAGTGGGGGTTTGGGAAGTGTCACGCCGAGTCGGTAGAGCAGGGCCGTGGGAATTTTTTAAAGCTAAAGTTGGGTGCCAATATAGTCAGTGAGATTTGGGAAGGCTCACACGGAGCTACAAGTCATGGCTGTGTGATGGTATTATTCAAAGGTTCTGGCCTGATAACAGAAGCCAGAGCCGAAGAAACACTAGTAGTTCACCAGACTCGGGGAGGGTTAGAAAAGCGTGAAGGACCAAGACGAAGAAGCAACTCAAACTCTCGACAAGTCATTAACTCCTGCTATGCAGAAGCGGAAGAAGATTGTCCCTTTATCAAATGGAATGCGGCCAATCTGAAGATGATGCCAGTGTGTAGTTGTTACGTGTATGCATAACCTGGATATGTACAACTAGAAAGGGGTGTAATTAGATTTAAATGAACGGTGTGTTTAATATGTGCCCGGGCAGAAGGGGAATTAGGTTCAGGATTGGGCTGGACAACGGATGGCTTGGCTAGTGGTGGTGCTGGTCTGTGGTGGCAGTGCAATTAGCTGCCTGTGTTAGCTGACCTGTAAAGGACGTATGCACATTGTACAGATGTACGGAAATTGCAAAGAAATTCCTTTGTGCTGAACTTCTCCGATGTGTGCACGTGTGTGTGTGTGTGTGTGTGTGTGCGTGTGTGTTTGTTTTGGGTTTCTTTTTTTCCGTTTGCCCAGGCGATATTCAGGACATTGATATTCCGGAGAAGATCGCACTGGTAGGTGTACATCATGCTCATGTCCACCACTGCTTTACTGCTCATAGCACATAGTCCCACCATCCTGTTTTGTTCGCCATGTGTGCATCGTCAGTTTATAGGGCTTGAAAGTGCTACGTCACAGCATGGCAACAATTTCAAAAATTCAAAAACTGGATCCACTTGGATCCAGTTTAGTGGATCCAGTTTTTGTATGGATCCAAGCACATTTCAAGCGGTCTTACCCACAGCATGGTGATGTAGCCAGTGAAACTGACTGATTTGGCTACTGGGGGCGGGGTGACAACTGGTGGCGAAATAAAAGTCACACCTGCATGCGACATGAGTGGGTTGCTATGCACCCACATACTTAGGCAATAGCAAAGTCACACCTTAGTGGATCCAAAAATAGAAATCTGCTGTCAACTTACTACTCCCTGGCCGTTTTGACGTCATCACTTTCAAGCCCTATTGACTGTAGAGAGAGAGAGAGCTGATATGATGAACTGCTCTTTTTTTTTTTTAGAGAACTGCTTGTGGAGCCTTCAAACCGTTGTTCTATTTCAATTTCTGTGTTGTTTTTCTTGTTCTTGTTCTTATTGTTGTTGTTGTTGTTGTTGTTGTTGTTGTTGTTGTTGTTGTTGTTGTTGTTGTTGTTGTTGTTGTTGTTGTTGTGGTCGTCGTCGTCGTCGCCGTCGTTGTTGACGTCGTCGTCGCCGTCGTTGTTGATGTTTCCAATCTTTATTTTCACGATGGCCTGTGGCCAAATTGTTGTTGTTGTTGTTGTTGTTGTTGTTGTTGTTGTTGTTGTTGTTGTTGTTGTTGTTGTTGTTGTTGTTGTTGTTGTTGTGGTCGTCATCGTCGTCGCCGTCGTTGTTGACGTCGTCGTCGCCGTCGTTGTTGATGTTTCCAATCTTTATTTTCACGATGGCCTGTGGCCAAATTGTTGTTGTTGTTGTTGTTGTTGTTGTTGTTGTTGTTGTTGTTGTTGTTGTTGTTGTCGTCGTCGTCGTTGTTGACGTCGCCGTCGTTGTTGATGTTTCCAATCTTTATTTTCACGATGGCCTGTGGCCAAATTGTTGTTGTTGTTGTTGTTGTTGTTGTTGTTGTTGTTGTTGTTGTTGTTGTTGTTGTTGTTGTTGTTGTTGTTGTTGTCACCACCACCATTGTTGTTGTTCTTGTCATTGTTGTTGTTCTTGTCATTGTTGTCACCATTTGTTGTTGTTCTTCTTCCCCAGTCCTGGCAGTCTGGCACAAGTCTGGCCTGGTCGTGTGGATCCACGGTGGCCAACGCTAGAATACGCACCGTTGGTGAGACAACGCACACAGACGACAACACACTGCTCAAGGAGGATATATCGTCGGTCATGCGTCAGCGCGCTGTGGACGGCTATGGGCTCAAGGTAATAAAAAAACATTGCACTGTGATACATGATGTGTATTGTGAGTAGGCACCCCAGGAGGCACTGCACTGCTGCTGCGGCGAATACTCAATGTACAATGTGCGGAACCAAATCCGGTGTGTGTACTTCGAGTAGCAGTATTTGATATGCGCCTGATAATCCTGAGTACCTTGACGTACGGATACTGAGTTGCTCTGGACTTTTCCTGGTTGTATAATACTTTTTGGAATTGTCCGTCATGTCGAATTGGGCTGCTCCATTAATGTTCGTGCAATGCGACCTTGCACTTCAGCTTATCGAAACATTGAAGTGACTTATGCGGCTGCTGCTGCTTCTATGTGTGTGTATTATGTGTGTGTGTGTGCACGCGCGCGTGTGTGTGCGGGCACATTGCATCTGTGGGTGCACATCCAGTGCATTTGCAGATTTGCGTACTTCTCTTGCGACGGGCGTATACATGGTACATGGTACATGGTGTACATTGCTTTATTTATGCATGTTGTCTACAGGCTAGTGTCAATGCACAGATAGCACGTGGTGATGCTGCACTAGTAGCGCTGTGGAAGTGGCTAGTCCGGTGTCAAAGACTATCAGCCAGTGGTAAGAGCGATATCTCAGTACTTAGCTACCTGTATTGCTGTATGATTTCCTGGCGAACATCTGGGTCGCAGTGGCAGATGAAGTCACGAGCCACAAGTCACGAGACGCGGCTTTAGGTGCCTAGATGGTGTAACTCTTGTATGATTTCCAGTGCTTGGGTTGCTGTGCTGTATTGTGCTGTGCGCTAGTGCAACTTGCTATTTGTGCAAGAGTTTCGTACAGCTACAAGTATTTGCTACGTGTTTGTGTGTGTGTGTGTGTGTGTGTGTGCGCGTGCGCGCGCGCGCGCGTGTGTGTGTGTGTGTGTGTGTGTGTGTGTGTGTTCCTGTGTGCGTGCACGTGTGTGTGTGTGTGTGTATGCAGGTGTTCTATCGACGGGCCGCATGTCACCCAAGAACGTCAGTATTCTACACTTGCTGGCCGATGGTGCTGGAGGTGTGTACTACTGTACTGTGTAGTCTTTGAATACTGTAAAACATGTAATTTTCGGTGTAACTTTATTTTCGATGATTTCGGTAGAGAAACAAGGCACCTAAATTACACCTAAAAGGCACCAGCATGTGCACTGTATGTGAATGGAATGCTGGTCACCTAATTCTACATTACACCTGAAACCTGGCAGGTCCCTGACACCGAAATTTTAATGCACCTAAAATTACATGTTTTACGGTAGTTAAAATACCCAATGCTGTAGACAACAAGCTGTTTCGGCCGTATAGGCCTCATCAGTACAGCTACGAGCTTTAATTAGATTCCTTTTCGAGAACGAGGTGATTTCTTACCCGACAGCTAAACATTAATTTTGACATTTGAGTTCAGTCACCCCTTCAGAGTCCATGGTTGGTGCACATGCATGCTCTCAAACGTTTTCACTCGTTCAAATCTCTGGCGGAGAGAGAAACTTTTTGGCACGTGTGAAAAAATAACTGAAGCAACAGTTGACTGTCACCACCAGGACTCAAACCAGAGACATTCACTCCAGACCAGCAATACTCTAACCACTGCAGCGGCGTCGGAGGGTATTTTACGGTGGTACGGTCGGGTATCTCAGGAACAGTTTACTTGCTGGAAAGGGTGGCTCCGCTGAAAGATGTCGAAATTTAGAGTCCAAATCAGTGCTCTTGATTGTTTGATGGGGTGCCTGGGGTCGAACAGTGGTACGGTCAATACCGTAGTGACCGTAGCGATCGTAGTGTGTCCGACGCCCCTGCACTGAGCTATGATATAGTAGTTGTCATCCCAGCAGGGAATATTCAACACATTCAAGTTGCATTGTTTTCCGTTTCGACTGTTTGTCCCTATGTAGAGCAACTGCCTGTGTCCAAAACCGTGGCTCCGGACATTACCGTTAAGCAACACCTCAGCGTTGTCCGGTGGGTTTTTGCGGAGTGTGTGTGTGTGGGGGGGGGGGGGGGTTTGCGGAGTGTGTGTGCTCTACTCTCATTTCCCGTTTGCATCTTTCCCTCGAACGAATGAATACTCTCGTTGTACTACTGTCATGTGAGAAACGTTCGCTATTTTCGCAGCCATCACGCTTCGCTGGTGGTGGTGATGCTGGCGATGCTGATACTGCTGTCTTGGACTGCTGCTGCTGTATGTTACTGCTGCTGCTGATACTGTATGTTATTGATGCTGCTGCCATATGTTACTGATGCTTCTGGTCTGACTGATGTGACTTGACTATTGATAGGCGGCAAATTCAGCGCCTCTGCGGCTGGGACTTTGAAGAGTCGAATCTGGAGGACTTCCTAAAACGGTGAGCCACTGCTTATTGCTCACACATGTTGTAACTATGTGTGTGTGTGCGTGTATACAGCAGGGTTGCAATGTCCAGCCAGTGGCAGTGCCATGCCTAGTGTACTCAATACTCATACTACCGTCGTGGAATGGTACGCGTTCACCGGCGGTACTTCATCGTTCATGGTGGCATGCATGCATTTACAGTACGAGCACTGCACAGCACTGAACAGTCTGCACTGCACTCTGCCTACTGCAGTCGGGTCGAGCACTGCACTGAGCTGAGTATAATTATGCACATGGCAGGCCTGGCATAGGCCTGCCATGTGCCGTGCACTAGGCAGTGGCAGTGTATGGTACAGCTACCAGTAGCTAGCATAGCAGTGGTCGGATTTTTTGGCGAGGACTGTACCTTGCATGTCATACCAATAAATCACACACACACCGAGAGAGTGCAACTCCAGCAGTCTATGGTAAGTGGGTCTTGCACACTCTTGAGGTTATGTACTTCGAAGTACTTTGAAGTACTGCTGCCTGCGCTGTGTGTTGGCAAGCGTATTCTGTTCAAGCATGTCATGTGCCGTGTGTATCTCTACCGTCATTGCACTGGATAGACGGAGAGGACAGGCAGTTGCACAGTCGCTGGGGTTCTGTACTCTTGACCTGGGCCGTAGCACTGCGATTTCAGGTGGTCCGGCCAAATGGGGTGCTTGACCGGAAATGGGCATTATTGACAAAAAAAAACGTTTTCACGAATTTTCGAAATAAGGTCCGGACATCACCGGACCGGGTGGTTCAGCCCTGTGTGGATCATACTGGCAAAGAACCGTCTTCTTGACTATAGGAACTTCCTGGAAAACGTCTCACATCCTTTCTCCATGTCCTCTCTCTCTCTCTCTCTCTCTCTCTCTCTCTCTCTCTCTCTCTTTCCTTCCTTCTGTCTCACTTTCCTTCTCTCTGTCTTTCCTTCTTCTCTCCTCTGTCTCCCTTTTTAACAGTCTGGAACTGAATAAGCAATACGAGCGTGCAGCCGCCATTGCCCTGTTTCACTTGCAACTGAAGCGTGCCGTCGAGTGTCTTACAAACGGAGCCCATAGTAAAGATGATAAAGGTATGTGTGCGCGTGTGTGTGTGCGTGCGTGTGCGCGCGTATGTATGTGTAAGTGTGTGTGTGTGTGTGCGCGCGTGCGTGTGTGTGTGCATATACCGATACCGTGTTTTTGGCAACACTGCCCGCGGCGCTTAGTAGGTTCTCTTAGGGTTCTCTCAGGGCCGTGGGTTCGAGCCGCACGTTGGGCACCAATGTTATAAATTTCTCTCGGGGTCGTGGACACGTGCAGAATTAGGTTATGGGTTGGAAGTACATGTATTACATTCGCTATACTCAGTCGGTAGAGATAGAGAGAGAGGCGTACACACCAAACTCCACGAAAGTTAGGACAATACTCGACTGTCTAATCCTCAAGAGAATCCTCTATGTACTAGTACCAAGAGTACATAACCCCCCAGAGTGTGCAACTCCACTATGGGTGCTGTCCCGACAGAATTTCAAGTTGACGTCATTTTGATGATGCAATGCGCACTGTACACGGATTATCAGACGAATCCGGAACCTGTGGTTGACCGAAGCCGATCGATCCTGTACAAATTATTGCAAAGAAAAACGTGTGATGCGTTGACACCCGTACACATGTTGTAAATCACTGGTGCAAGGAGCATTGCGTCATTAATAATGACGTCAACTTGAAATTCTGTCGGGACAGCAGGGTATGTGGGAGTTGCACACTCTGGGGGGTTATGTACTCTTGCTAGTACATGGAGGGAGAAAATGGACTGTGTATATGCAAATGTACGGTGTTACCTAATGGCACGCCTACTTATTTGGCGTGCATCTGTGGCCCGGCTAGCTCAGTTGGTAGAGCATGAGACTCTCACCAAAAGAAGGATCCACAAACGGGATTCGAACCCACACCCAGCACCCATGTCTTTCCGGGACAGTGCCCTACCGATTATTTATTTATATATTTCTGCGCCTCGTAGCATGTAAAGACAGGCAATTGAATTGAGGAGAGGGTGAGACCAACCACGGAAGAAGAGAAAAAAAGAAAAGAAAAGTACTTACACAAAAGGGGTAGGGATTAGCAAGTTACAAAGCAATGGGATGCCCAACGAGCTATGCAGCGGAAGTGGTGCGACTGTGATTTTGGTTACTGGAGGATACTGGAGTTCTGTCTGACGAGGGTACGGAATTTTGGCATATCTGGAGCTTGCCTAACACTGGGAGGCAGTTGGAGCCACGTGGAGTAGGAGGAAACGAAAGGGGACTTTACGAATAGGGTAGACCTAGCTAGGGGGAGACGAACGCGGCTTCGGGTGGTACCACCCGACTTAAACCAATTAAGTGACTGCGAGTGACCAGTGTGCTAGTCAAGGAAAATGGATTAGGCTACCGGGGATCACACACACCCGTGGCTCCTTCTTGCTATAACTGGACGCTATTCCACCGAGTGGCAACATCTTGGATCAGGTGCAGTGCTTCACCACCATTACTGCTCATAGCTACTTGGCGCTCGTTGAGAGCCTCTGTTTGCTTGCTGCTGTGGTGAAAATGGCTCACCAGCCTGGGCGCCCATCATCCAGCGCCTTCTCCACCTGTCGCGTACTGGCAACAGCATGACGGATACAGGTTTGCAGCCGATGTTGCGCTGCACAGGGGATCACGTCACAGGCAAGCTGCTCCCGTTTCGGCAAGCGACAGGCTGCAGCCATGGCATTGGCTGCAGCCATGGCATTGGCTGCTTGATCATGCACAGTACACGTTACACTGCTAGTTCTGTTGCCCGACGTGCTCAACAACTCGCTTGGTTTCTGCTGCCAGGTTGTTTGCAGTATGGCCCTCCTGGAAGTATGAAGTTTCCAGGACGTAGCTCCGCAACGTCCAATCAGCTGCAACAAAGTGGGACAGTGAACGTCAGGTAGGACATCGTGACCTTTGACGTCCAGGCATCCGTGGTAAGTGCAAGCGCTGGAGCGTTCTGGAGCAGCTCTATCAACTCTTTTCTTGCTCTCGTGTGGCGCTTTTGGATCACGCCGGCACCGCGGGTTCGCAATGGCACAATGAAGCCAGGCTTCGGGAACGACATGAGCCTCACGAAACCTCCGTCGCCGACAATCCCCCCGAATGTCGCATGTTCTGGCAGATCCAGTCCACCAGCAGGTTGGTGATTTGGGAGACCTCCGCCGCGCCGCACGGTATCTGCGACTGCCTAACACCAAACAACATCAGTCGGTAGAGCATGAGACTCTTAATCTCAGGGTCGTGGGTTCGAGCCCCACGTTGGGCGCCAATGTTGACAATTCCTCTTATTATTATTACCCCTCTGACCAACACAAGGCACCAAGTAGTTATTGTAGGAGGGAAAGTTGTCTTATTACTGGTATTGATAAGGTTGGACAAGAAGGCAAGACTAGACGAGACAAGATTAAAGCTTAGGCTACTCGACCAAGGATTCAACTAAAGATTAAGCTCTTGGAAGTCTCGTTATACAAGGAATATTACTACAATTAATGCCCATCGCGTGATGCATAGGCGCGCCCAATTATTTGGCGCGCATGTTATGGGTGTAACCCGGCCATGTACACTATAAAGGGATGTAATTAGATCAAATGTACGGTGGTTTTATGTGCAGGGGCAGAAGGAGGGAAAACGGGCTACAAATGTGTATGGTACTAATTATTGCATGCAGGGTAGTCATAGCCCAAATTTGCTAGCAATTCTTTGAGCAAAATATCGGATGCGCAAGTTGGCGGCAAGTTTTGAGCAAAACATCGAGTTTTGGTGGGCTTTTCATAAAATCCAAGGCTTCTCAGGGACTTCAACGCGATCAATCACCAAGGTTGAAAACAAGCACAAACGTTGGGCAGAACGGACTCCTATGCCACATTTTTGTAGAAAGTTGAGCAGCAGCACGAGCTCAATTAAAAAATTCCCTCGTCATCAGCGACAATTATCATTGAGGTTCCCTTAAAACTCCTTTTTCTCGAGCAAAACCAAAGCAAAATAACGACGGAGAAAGGAAATGCCAAGCAGAATATCGAAAATTTTGTGGCAAAATTGTGCGGCAAAATATCGATGTGGGCAGAGCAAATTTGGGCCATGACTAAGGGCCTGGTCAGACTGCGGCAAATTGTTGGTGCCTGACGAAAAAAGAAAAGCGTCCAGAATTTGAATCGCGATCACACTACACATGAGGGGAGAATGAAAATTCAAACTTCATTTCGAGCGTCAAGTGGTAATCTCCACGAACGACGTCAAATTCCTTCACTTTGGGGATCGCCAACACCTTCAGTGCAATCCTTGCAACCATCCTTATGAGTTATGTTGTTGTCCGTGGCCAATTAGCTCCTCGATATCGAGATGAAAAAATAAGTGAATATCAGCGTCAATGGCGTATCAGCGTCAAACTCCTGTTTGGAGCGGAAAAGCGTGGTCCGTTCTTGCTTTTTTTTGGAGCGTCAACTCCCGCTTTTGCCGCTCTGGCGGCAAGTTACTATGGGGATTCGGATTATAATCACAGGATTATTTCGATTTTGCCGCAGTCTGACCAGGCCCTAATGCAGGGGTAGTGGGGAAATGGTACAAATATGGGGGTTATGAAATGTGTATAAACTATCGCATGCAGGTGAGTGATCCAAATATGGAGTGTGTATTGACATGTATAACAAATGTGAGGCGAGTCCCTTGCCCAGTTGTTACCGAGCTAGAAGCCTCGTCCGCGGCAGGCTTCGAAATGACGAAGGGATGACTTGTGCGCAAATGGTTCTGGAGGTTTGTCATCCATCCAGTATAGCAATAGGAACGCTTGCAGAGGCTACATATCACTTTGTTGTCCACCGGTTGCGAAAAGTGCTTCCAAGCTAAGGAATGTTGAGACGACAGCCTTCCAACTTTTGTCGTCGACATTATAGCGAAAACGGTACACAAAGGAGATTCTACTCAGGTCTAGGGAACGGAAACTGTCATACAAAACAACAACACTTCGGACAGGAAGGAGTATCGAGGCGACAAGCCGAAGTAAATTTCAAAAACGGTTTCCCATCAGTGCGTTCATATCTCACAACTTGCTGTGATGATTGAGTCGTCCAAGTCATAAAATACTGACTCAAAGGCATGCAACCTGGGGCTGCGCGGTACGCGAAAAGCGTTTGAAAAATCGATCGAGTACAAAATTTCGAGTACACGCTCGTTTGGAAATGTCGAACGATTATTCGGATAGTCAACATGGAGATGATACTTGAAGTAAACAACTTGTTTCACCCCTGAAGTATACTCGTGGGAGGGGGTGGGGAGGCTCTGCTATAAGTTTGAAAAGTTAGACCCTGAATCAATGCAATTTATTGATTGGCGGGGTACCTGGGGCAAATAGTAGTACAGTTGATACCGCAGTGACCATAGCCTGTTTGTCGCGCCTGTAACGTTACAAGGTGTAGTCCCATGCCGCACCGGGTTTTGTCCAATGAAAATGAACTGGATTATGCTCATATGTGGTATGTATGTGTGCTTGTTTGTGTGTGTGTGTGTGTGTGTGTGTGTGTGTGTGTGTGTGTGTGTGTGTGTGTGTGTGTGTGTGTGTGTGTGTGTGTGTGTGTGTGTGTGTGTGTGTGTGTGTGTGTGTGTGTGTGTGTGTGTGTGTGTGTGTGTGTGTGTGTGTGTGTGTGTGTGTGTGTGTGTGTGTGTGTGTGTGTGTGTGTGTGTGTGTGTGTGTGTGTGTGTGTGTGTGTGTGTGTGTGTGTGTGTGTGTGTGTGTGTGTGTGTGTGTGTGTGTGTGTGTGTGTGTGTGTGTGTGTGTGTGTGTGTGTGTGTGTGTGTGTGTGTGTGTGTGTGTGTGTGTGTGTGTGTGTGTGTGTGTGTGTGTGTGTGTGTGTGTGTGTGTGTGTGTGTGTGTGTGTGTGTGTGTGTGTGTGTGTGTGTGTGCGTGCGTGTGTGTGTGTGTGTGGTGTGTGTGCGTGTGTGTGTGTGCGTGTGTGTGTGTGCATGTGTGTGTGTGCATGTGTGTGTGTGCATGTGTGTGTGTGCATGTGTGTGTGTGCATGTGTGTGTGTGCATGTGTGTGTGTGCATGTGTGTGTGTGCATGTGTGTGTGTGCATGTGTGTGTGTGCATGTGTGTGTGTGCATGTGTGTGTGTGCATGTGTGTGTGTGCATGTGTGTGTGTGCATGTGTGTGTGTGCATGTGTGTGTGTGCATGTGTGTGTGTGCATGTGTGTGTGTGCATGTGTGTGTGTGCATGTGTGTGTGTGCATGTGTGTGTGTGCATGTGGGCATGTGTGTGCGTGCGGGTGTGTGTGTGCGTGCGGGTGTGTGTGTGCGTGCGGGTGTGTGTGTGCGTGCGGGTGTGTGTGTGTGTGTGTGTGTGTGTGTGTGTGCGAGTGCATGCATGTCTGTGCGTATGTGTGCCTGAACGCCCTTGCCTTGCGGTGGTTGTTCAGCCTCTAACCTACATCTGCTTGCCATAGCACTGTCCGGCTTCACAACCTCCACGTCCACCTCAATGTGGCATGACGTCGTAGGAAGTCTCAAGTCAATGGTATGTACGCTATGTTCATCTCTGAGCGCTTGGTTTAGCTGCTCACACAGCCATCGACACGCCTTCAGAGTAGTTTCACATCTATCACATGACTATACAGGGCAGACATTTTGGTTACAACTCCACTCATCCCCTGCATCTATGGGTCCCATGATATTAGCCATGTTGGTTCCATCTACGGCATCTATCCATTATCACCTACTGCACAAATTTAGTCACATGACGAAGATGTGAAACCACTTTATTCGATTGTGTTGCGATTAAAAAACCCCACATTTGACCGCCTTTAGGAGCAGCATCTGCATGCCTTGATCCTAGAGGGTGGTGGCGTTCCTACAGGTGCGGAAACTCGGTCTCTAGCCGAGTCCCACGCGAACCGTGATTTTTTGTTATTATTTTTGTCTTCGGCAACTGTTGTGCAGTGGATCTTCTGCTACTGTTGGCGTATATCCCGGGTCTCTACAACTACCTGGTTAACGTATCTGTGGATGTGTGTGTGTGTGCGTGCGCGCGTGCGTGTGTGTGCGCGCGCGCGCGCGCGTGTGTGTGTGTGTGTGGTGTAGATCACGAATCCCTACATCTTGGCGGCGTTTGCGTTTCTCTCCGGCGTGTCCACGGCTAGCAAAGTCAGCTCTACCTTCCTGTTCACAAACAGCAGTGTCAGCAGCAATACTAGCGTCAACAATTCGCCATTTGCACCCGTCCTGGTGAGCCCTACTCATAATTACGCTCATATGCAGTGTGTGTATGTGGGGCGGGGGGTTGTTTCACCTGTAGCGACCAGAGCATTGTGTTACTCAGCTGATTGCTGATGCCCATGGCAAAATTAATCTTCAGGCATACGTTGCCTGTCCACAATACTCTCTTTCCCATGACCGTAGGCTGTGCTGAGGAGTCTAAAAAACTCTAGCCAAAGTCAGAATGGCTACAAGCAAGAGTCCATAAACAAGAGTATGCAACTGTGATCTCTTTTCTATGGGCCAGATGCGCGGCGCGCTGCCTTCATTACATCATTCAGCCGCAGTCCGCGCACTGCGGGAAATCAAACACCGCACTTTCCCTCTGGTTTGAAATGAGCTTTCGTATGGAACTGGAGTTCACGCGCCAAAATTTAGAGATCGGGTACGTACTGGAACGAATCAAGAAAAAACGGATGGGCTCGTACGAGAAATTGTGTGTTTGAGTGCATCCTTTCAGAGCGTGATGGAGGCAAGTTACGTAATGAAGGAAGAGCGCCGTGCACTGACCCGTAACCGCAGTTGCACACTCTTGTTCATGCACTCTTGCTACAAGAGTAAAGGCTGATTGACAATACCTCTTTTTGCGATGCGACACGCGACTTGCGACAGTTGCTCTCCTTGAATTGAGCAAGTTTGTTGTATCGGTGACTTTACTCGTCTGCTTATCCCTGTATTTCAGCTGACTCCGTGGCGCAACGGTAGCGCGTCTGACTCCAGATCAGAAGGTTGCGTGTTCGAATCACGTCGGGGTCAGATTCACTTTTTTCTTCTTTTTTGTTGCAATGCGAAAAAAATAATGTGGACTCTCAGGACAACATCAATACAGTCACTATTATCCTATGTGCTGTAGAAGCCCCATAGGCCTTATGCACGTTGTACAGATGCACGAAATCCCGTAGAATCCCGTAGACCCGGTTGGGTGTTGAATGTGCAGGACCCTATTGTGTTTATTGCTATTTCCACAGCGAAATGGGCCCTGAAGGCATTTCATACGAACACTTTTTCGACAGTGATCTAGCGAGTCGTTAGTTCAATCCCAAAGTGAAGAAGCTGGAAAAGTGATTGTTCGCCGCGAATTATGAGGCTAAAAGGGTCAAACACGCATGTATAGCACACAATGAACACCCAACCGGGTATGTACACACCTACGGCCCTAGTACAGAACTTCGTACATCTGTACAATGTGCATAAGGACTATTCACGATAATATTTGCTGCAACGCGACCTGCGACAAGGAAATGCCTACCGCTTACTGTCGCAAGCAGTTGCTAGGCCACTGTCGCAGAAGTTGCCCAAAGTTGAACTTTTGCAACACGTGGTACATGCAGTGGAGTGCAGCTTACGAGGCTGGGTGAATGTGCAGTATCAGGGCCGGAGGCTGCTTCCGCGGAGCGGTGCGGCTGAAGGGCCATCTTTAAGGGGGGTGTGGGGGTCCTCCCCCAGAATTTTTTTGGAATTTAGACGGCAAATCCTGCACTCTGGGCAACTCCCTGTACAAAATCATACATCAAAACTTTTTCTCCCCGGTTTTGGACGTTCCACGTGGACCGACTTTTTGGGAAGTTGGTACGGCCATGGCCGTACCGGCCGTACCAGTGGCGCCGGCCCTGAGTATGCGGGGATTTACTGTGAACTTCATTTGAATGTCTCACAAACCGAAACATATGTTGAATCTTGTGCTGCAATCGCAGCTTGGTGCAGGTGTCGCATACGGCGCATCGCATCACAGAAAGTGGTGTTGTGAATGGGCCTTTACATGGTGTTACTGAATACACGAGGTCAAATTTGACTGTCCCGAACTGTAGCTCCCCGAACCGACCAGCTCTTGCTGATGAGCTTTGATTTGCCTTGTTGAGGAGAGTGTGTTGATGTTGCTGCTGTTGATGCTGCTGCTGTTAATGCTGCTGCTGCTGATAATAATAATATCTTTATTAGGATGACCCAGAGGCTTGTCGCCTATCAAGGGGTTCACCGCTTTGAAGGGTGTACAATGTACATGTATGAGCTGAGGTGAAAGTAGTGAAAAGTTGTGCAGCGTGAATGCGTTGGGGAGCACACAGGGGGGGGGGGGGGGTTATGTACATGGTATGGGCATACCGGAGAGCGAAGCACTATGTTTGCAAGTGAGTTTGCGAAGCTCATTCTTGAAAACAATAATGGATGGTTCTGCAGTTAGTCTCGGTGGGAGGCAGTTCCATCAGAGGGAGGTTTGGAAGAGAAACAATGATTTTGATGTGGTCTTTGCTTTAGGGAGAATCTTTTTGTTTGGGATGCTGCTGATGCTGCTGCTGTTGCTGTTGTCTGGGTTGGGACAATGACACAAACAGCACTATCCAGTTCTGATTTCACTCTCTGCCTCATCACTGGACATACAGTCTGCTTGCTCTACAAATTCTAACAAGAGTACATAACACCAAGAGTATGTAACTCTGCACATGCCGGGGCCTGGCGCGGCACGTTGCCTGCACTACGTAGCCACGAACTGTGGGCCATTGTGTCATTATTGATCTGCTACGGTTTCCTGTTTCCAAATCCGCTTTCCTCGGAGACTTGGGAAGGTGTTGTACACGATGCGTCATGCACAGGCATTGCCTTTGAACTTAACGTGTGGCACATGAAATCGTCGAGGCTAAACCGTAGGAAAGCTCGAATCCTTTCAGCTGTATCATCATTTCACTACGTAAAGGCAGGCAGCACGCCGCGCACAGCACGCTGCGCACAGCACGCCACGCACAGCACGCCGCGCACAGCACGCCGCGCACAGCACCCATAGCTTGGAGATCAGGAGTTGCACACTCTTGGCCTTGGGGTTATGTACTCTTGATTCTAATCAACACAGCTAACCAAGCAGCTACCGGTAACCATTGTCACTTGTACAAATCAGCCTTCACTTACTATCAGCTGACTCCGTGGCGCAACGGTAGCGCGTCTGACTCCAGATCAGAAGGTTGCGTGTTCGAATCACGTCGGGGTCAGATTCACTTTTTTCTTCCTTTTTCTTCTTTTTTTTACTCCGACCGCACTGAAAACGCGTTGCAGGTGCAGACGCGCAGACAGAGGGATACATGAAGTACGATTATCAATATTATAAAAATGGCTAATTTAGGCGGTGGTGAAATTTAGCGCTTTTTAGCGCTCTTTTCGCTAAAGTTTAGTTACGCCAGTGAAAAGTTTCCATGAATCTTTTGTCTCCTCTTTTCTGACTTGAAAACACTGATGGAGAGAAGGAAGGAGGGAGGGAGAGGGTGAGGGAGAGAAGGAGGGACGGAGAGGGTGAGGGAGAGAAGGAGGGAGGGAGAGGGTGAGGGAGAGAAGGAGGGACGGAGAGGGTGAGGGAGAGAAGGAGGGAGGGAGAGGGTGAGGGAGAGAAGGAGGGAGGGAGAGAGGTGAAGAGGGTGAGAAGGAGGGAGGGAGAGAGGTGAAGAGGGTGCTGTGTACCACTAGCCGAAAATATAGTTCGGTCTTCAGTACACAACAAGAGCTACGGTTGATGTAGCTTGACTCTGGTCAAGACTGCGAGTGAGTTACAATTCAAGTAGGCGCGTAGCAGCTATGGATGAAATCTGCAGTGTGTCATTCTTGAAATTCCAGTCAATGCCAAAGCATTTCTGTGAGGATCCCTTGCCTCTATCTCGCTCTGAGAGGGAAACTGAGAGAGACAGACAGAGACAGACAGACAGACAGACAGACAGACAGACAGACAGACAGACAGACAGACAGACAGACAGACAGACAGAGAGAGAGAGAGAGAGAGAGAGAGAGAGAGAGAGAGAGAGAGAGAGAGAGAGAGAGAGAGAGAGAGAGAGAGGGAGAGAGAGAGAGAGAGAGAGAGAGAAGGGGGGGGGGGTGCCGCCATGCCGCACTTGCTTCGGGTGCACCAAAGCTGAGCTGGCAACGGAGGAAGGTTTCTGTCTAACTTCCAGTGCTGTACATTGGACTGTCAGCTGACTCCGTGGCGCAACGGTAGCGCGTCAGACTCCAGATCAGAAGGTTGCGTGTTCGAATCACGTCGGGGTCAGATTCACTTTTTTCTTCCTTTTTCTTCTTTTTTTTACTCCGACCGCACTGAAAACGCGTTGCAGGTGCAGACGCAGACAGAGGGATACATGAAGCACGATTATCAATATTATCAAGAGTACATAACCAAGAGTGTGCAACTGCCTGCACAACCTCTATGCTGTGCTGCGACGGCAGAACTTCACATCACGTGACATGGTTCAAAAGGTTATGCTGGCAAACAGTGCAAAGTGACCACAAGAGAGTTGTACCCAAAGCTGGGCTGCGTACAACCCAGTATCTATCATGCACTAGAGTGCACGGGTTCATCACGTGATGTGAAGTTCTGCCGTCGCAGACCCCATAGCTGGAGTTGCACACTCTTGGGTTATGTACTCTTGATATTATGAAAATGGCTAATTTAGGCGGTGGTGAAATTTAGCGCTTTTTAGCGCTCTTTTCGCTAAAGTTTAGTCACGCCAGTGAAAAGTTTCCATGAATCTTTTGTCTCCTCTTTTCTGACTTGAAAACACTGATGGAGAGAAGGAAGGAGGGAGGGAGAGGGTGAGGGAGAGAAGGAGGGACGGAGAGGGTGAGGGAGAGAAGGAGGGAGGGAGAGGGTGAGGGAGAGAAGGAGGGAGGGAGAGAGGTGAAGAGGGTGCTGTGTACCACTGGCCGAAAATATAGTTCGGTCTTCAGTACACAACAAGAGCTACGGTTGATGTAGCTTGACTCTGGTCAAGACTGCGAGTGAGTTACAATTCAAGTAGGCGCGTAGCAGCTATGGATGAAATCTGCAGTGTGTCATTCTTGAAATTCCAGTCAATGCCAAAGCATTTCTGTGAGGATCCCTTGCCTCTATCTCGCTCTGAGAGGGAAACTGAGAGAGACAGAGAGAGAGAGAGAGAGAGACAGAGACAGAGACAGAGACAGAGAGAGAGAGAGAGAGAGAGAGAGAGAGAGAGAGAGACAGAGAGAGAGAGAGAGAGAGAGAGAGAGAGAGAGAAGAGAGAGAGAGAGAGAGAGAGAGAGAAGAGAGAGAGAGAGAGAGAGAGAGAGAGAGAGAGAGAGAGAGAGAGAGAGGGGGGGGGGGGAGGTGCCGCCATGCCGCACTTGCTTCGGGTGCACCAAAGCCGAGCTGGCAACGGAGGAAGGTTTCTGTCTAACTTCCAGTGCTGTACATTGGACTGTCAGCTGACTCTGTGGCGCAACGGTAGCGCGTCTGACTCCAGATCAGAAGGTTGCGTGTTCGAATCACGTCGGGGTCAGATTCATTTTTTTTAGTTTTATTCTTTCCTTTTGGACTCGGATGGAGAGCCAAGGATAACTTGTAATTGTAGTTCCTTGGGCCTTTTTCTTTTCTGGGGGGGGGGGGGGGGGGGGAGGTGCCGCCATGCCGCACTTGCTTCGGGTGCACCAAAGCTGAGCTGGCGACGGAGGAAGGTTTCTGTCTAACTTCCAGTGCTGTACATTGGACTGTCAGCTGACTCCGTGGCGCAACGGTAGCGCGTCTGACTCCAGATCAGAAGGTTGCGTGTTCGAATCACGTCGGGGTCAGATTCATTTTTTTTAGTTTTATTCTTTCTTTTTGGACTCGGATGGAGAGGCAAGGATAACTTGTAATTGTAGTTCCTTGGGCCTTTTTCTTTTCTATAAATTCTTTCCTTTTTCTTTTTGATTTGCAAGAAATTCCTTCTCGGGTGCAGGGTAGTACTAGTAGGGTGGGATTACCGTGTCATTCTGGAGACACACATTTGCCTGATACTTTTGCTAGTGAATAGATTCTAACACTTGCAACTAAACTCATTCATAGCCACAGCACAACACGCAGTGAAACAAGAATCGGAGCATTTACTGCAACAATCCCGTCTAGATATCAGATGATTCTACACAGAAAAGTCCAAGAATGTCAGGTTGGAAATTTGCCAGGTTTCAAGAATTCGAGGACAGGTGTATATAGCTACAGTTGCGCTCGGTGAAATCCGACCCAGAGTGCATATTTGGCGCCCTCAACTATATATGTAGCGTGCCGCGCCGTTGACGCCCTGGACTTGGCACAAATGCGGCTGGACGTACACATGAGCGTATACAGATACAAAGATGTAGTCGGAACTGGTCCAGGGCGCCTGCTTTGCACTTTGGGTTGGATTTCATTGAGCGCAGCTGGCTGGACATACCATGGGGAAATGTAGAGAAGAGAAGGGTCTAAAACCTACGTGCTGACCCCCTACCTCCACCACCCTGCACCCCTCCTCCGATTATGCAGCTGCTGCATGCCCTTGCCTGCTTTTTTTCTTCAAATAACTAAGTGTTTTTTGGTCGGGTACGTTTGGGCTTTCCGCCTTCTCCGTGAAATAATATAAGAAAAGCACAAGAAGCAAGAATGGCAAGAAAAGCAGAACATATGAGAACACGATATAAATGCCCTTGCCTGCTGCATACCCTTGCCTGCTGTGTACTCTTGTCCATATAGATCTCAGGGGTACCACACACGGTATGACCAGTATGACCATGGTTGTACCACTTCCGTCGTCCAGGATGGTCCGCCCACAGCGCCTGCAAAGCGCTAAAACGTGCGTGCCCTGTTGGCCGAAAAATCCGATTTAATTTTCCCGCCGCGGGGACACCCCGGACCCACGGTCCTACCACTTCCCACTGCCCTGTGACACCCCGGATCAGAACACTAGTATTGCAAAAGAAGGATCTACGAGCGGGATTTGAACCCAGCACCCCTGTCTTTCCGGGACATTGCCCTACCGATTAGGCTACCGGGGATCGCACACACCCGTGGGTCCTTCTTGCTGCACTGACAGGGGTGCTGGGTTCGAATCAGGGAGTAGTACAATATTGTACTACTCCCTGGTTCGAATCCCGCTCGTGGATCCTTCTTCCTTCTCTAGTTTGCAATCGTGCGCCATTGTGTCCAGCAGCACCACCACCGCGTTGACTTGGCTTTGTCTAAGGTACAGTGCTGCACTCCTGGATATCAGCTGACTCCGTGGCGCAACGGTAGCGCGTCTGACTCCAGATCAGAAGGTTGCGTGTTCGAATCACGTCGGGGTCAGATTCACTTTTTTCTTCTTTTTTCTTCTTCATGTTTATTCTGTGCTGGGAAAGGTTACGCTTCTTTCTGTCTTGTGCTGGCTTGGTAAAAAAACGTTATTCGCTTGTTATTGGGTACTTCGAGAGGTTGAAAGTTTGATTGTAGTGATGGTAGTGGTCCCGCTGATAGTGTTGTTATTCGTGAGCTTGTTATCACAAGTTTGACTGTATTCTGCTTCTGTGTGTGTTTTGTTTGCCTATGCTTGGGTGCTTGTGCATGCGTGTGTGCGTGCGTGCGTGTGCGTGCGTGCGTGCGTGACTGGTTGTCGATGTGTGCGTTGTCTGTGTGCTTGACTGTATGCGTGGCGTGGCGTTCACTTGCTGGCAGTATGAGACGGATATCTCATTGTCTGATAAGGTAGCGTTCGCCTGCTCCTTCTTGACAGATTCCCAGGTAAGCATGTGCATGTCCTGATGTTGCTGTGTGCTGTATTATTCCATGCCTTCTAAACTCACTTGGTCTCCGGGTCTGTTTTTGACGTACCGTAGTTTCCGGAGTATAAGCCGCACTTTGAACACCAGTAATGCACCCATGAAAATCTGCTTACTCTGCGATGGTCAAATTAACTGTGATAAACTGCGTAGATGTCATTATTTAGTGACAAAAAGATGTGTCTGTTTTGTCGTCGTGTGCGGTGTGTGTGTGTGGGGGGGGGGGTATGTGTGTGTGTGTGTGTGTGCATGTATGTGTGTGTATGTTTGTGCACGTAGTTGCTGGAGTTTCTTCAGAAGCTTGCAAGTCAAATGGAGCAGGACGGTCGTCTTGATGGCCTCTTGTTGACCGGATTGGACGAGTCTGGAATGCGTCTTCTCCAGGCGTACTTAGACAAGGTGAGAGAGGCCAGCACCAGTAGTGCCTGTTTACAGTGCTTGTCTGTGCCTGTTTGCAGTGTGCAGGCAGGCAGGCATGGCGGCATGGTCTAAACTCTAAAAGAACAAAAAGGACCAAGGAACTACAAGCTACGCTATAGTGTCCACTAACACCACCAGTTACTAAACAATCCGCTCATGCGATAACATTGCACGACTTTGCACAACATAGCGGCGTAACTTGTAGTTCCTTGGTCCTTTTTGTTCTTCTATAAATTAATTCTTGGCTCTCCATCCGAGTAAATTCTAAAACCCTGATTGAGAAACAGCGGGTACTAGGTTTAAGTCATGCTTGCAAGCGGAAGGAGTTTTCCAGCCCTGTTGCGATCTGCAATTGATGGGAACTCATGGCCTGGCACGAGGGAAGCATGGATACAGCGAGTGAGATTTTCGGTCTTTTGACCATTTCGAGGTGGGTCTGATCTCGTCACCTCCCATGGCCTTAGGAGCTGCATGTGTGCCTTGACCTTTGCAGGGTGGTGGCCTTCCTAGGATCCTGTGGATGCTGAAAAGCTCAGTCTAACTGAGTGTCACGAGAACCGTGATTTTGTTCTGATTTTCAAATGTTTATTTTCGGTGCTTGGTTGCCGTGTATATTTTATCTCTACAACTAGCACTGTGCGGACTCCAGTTAACAAGAACACACTTTGCTTGGTTGGATGGTGCGCGGCCGGCGAAATTGAATTGCATTTGCCCGGGGGGGCAAGTAATAGCAGGGTTGGCAAGAGCCAAGAGCCCACTGATGCATTCAATGGAGAAATGGAGAGCCGCCGGACACCGTTTATTGGGGTTTACTTTATAAAAGTAAGCATGTGAGGATAAATATGGGAGTGGGAGGGTGGGAATGAGAAATAAATAAACTGACAACCAGTCACCACCATGAACAATTCTTGAGAAGAGATTGGCAGCAAGGGAACAAGAAAAATGGGTCGCCATTTTTGCGTCATGGTAACCGGACATCAGTATGGTTGCTGACGTCATGGGCACGTTGTGTGCGCTGGGGTAAATGTGAGTGGCAACACTGACAGTTGTGCGGCACCATGCCTGCGCGAGGACACAGGGCAGCAGAGACAGTTGTGCGGCGCCATGCGCCCGCAAGGACATGGGGCGGCAGAGGTAGGTGTGCGGCCCCACGCGCCTGCGAGGACAAAGGGCGGCGGAGACAGTTGTGCGGCACCATGCGCATGCAAGGGCATTGGGCAGCAGGGGCAGTTGTGCGGCACCATGTGCATTCGAGGACATGGGGCAGCACGTACCCGCGGCGGTGAGCTGCAATGATGCTAGCTGTTAATGAGCATAAACGCTGCGCTTTAATGCGACATTAACAAGAACACACATTGCTTAGGTGGATGGTGCGCGGCCGGCGAAATTGAATTGCATTTGCCCGGGGGGCAAGTAATAGCAGGGTTGGCAAGAGCCAAGAGCCCACTGATGCATTCAATGGAGAAATGGAGAGCCCATACAGGCCGGGCACCGTAACCCAAGGCAGACAGACAAGGGGCATAATATTGGCCTGCAAATGTGAAGGCTAGCATGTGCGTATCTCAACGTTCAAATTATGGCAATGCAGATTCCGCGAATATGAGCCAGCACACGCGAAAATCACCCTTAGTGACATATTTTCAGAAACTGAGATGACAGTGGATAAAGGCAGATGGATTTATGCAGAACTCAATGCAGAAAAACGTTTGAAAAATCTTGAGTAAAACTTGAGTTACGGGTCTTAGAAGATAGAGCATTTTACCTGATATATCGCACATCACACGAAAACAGAGAATGTTTGAAGTGCGTTTTCTCAGTTTGAAGTGCGTGTCACTAAGGTCGATTTTCGCGTGCGCTGGCTCATATTATTACATTGTGTTCTTACTTCTTAGGCAGCCGGGGACTTAGATCGGTGCCTCAGCCAGAGTCCTGGCCACAGAGGCCAGTTCTGCGGAGTGCGTTCTGATATAGCATAGCATGCTGTCACTCTGCCAGCGGCCTAAGATTCGGATCTGCCAATCTGGGATGCGGCATGCTGCAGCTGAGGTCGCCGCCCCTATGCGAAAGGAGTGCCCCGCATGATCCTTGGCGTTGCTTATGCCGGCCGACAGCAGGAGGCTTCTGAGCTTCAGGACCCTGGGCAACAGGGTGGCATGCTCAGTCGGGTCTGGGTGTCCGCACTCCAGGTGATAATTGCGGACAGCCGCGACGTAATTACAAATTGTTAGGGGCTTCAGTGACTCGGCCAGGTGAGCGGCAAAGCTGGAAAGCACGGCATCAGTGGCGGGTAGTGACTGGCACCGGCACAGGTCACAGAAAGAGAGGTATCTGCGGACACCGTGGCTGTAAGCCCGCCGGGTCGATGGCGCGATTGCTAGTCCAGCGTAGTGTGCCACTTGGCTACTCAGATCGAGTAGCGCGAGACGTTGACTTTGTCCGGCTGCGCCCGGGCCCCTGGTGCGAGCTTCCGGAATGCCTGCATGTTAAAGCGAGACAAAGCATCCGCAATACAGTTAGAAACTCCTGGTACATGGAGTGCAGAAACAGTGAAATCATGCCTGGCACAAATCATGAACAGGGTGCGCAGCAACGACATGACCGACGGGGATTTGGATGTTCCCGAGGCAACGCAGTCGACAACTGACCGATTGTCACAGTGGATGACAATGCGCCGACGGCCCCACTGCTCGCCCCAGGCACCGCACGCTGCAGTGAGGGCGTAGAGCTCCTTGAATTCGATGGACTTAAGCTGATCGTCTGCATGCCATCGGCCCTGAATCCATCGCTGCTCGTTGCCGTAGAATGCTCCCCAGCCAATGGAGCCGCTGGCGTCAGTGAACAAGCCAAGTTCAGTCGCCGGCGTGATATTCAGGGAGAGAAAGAAGGACTTCCCGTTCCAGTCGCGAATGAGTGTGAACCGCCACTGGATGTCCTTCTTACACTCGGCGCTCAGGACGATCTTGTAGTGTGCAGGGGCTCCATGGAATCGCTTTGACACGTCCCAGAGGCGACGCGTAAAGGTACGGCCAGGCGTGACTACCGCTGAGGCAAAGGAGAGCTTGCCCAGTAATAATGCGAACTTTGCCACAGTAGTGCAGCGGAGGGAGCTGAACTCTGTGAGGAGCATTCGCAGCTCGGCCAGTTTGTCATGTGGGAGACGAGCTTCCATGCGGACCGTGTCGAGGCAGATGCCGAGGAAAGTTAAGGTGGTTGCCGGGCCCTCGAGCTTGGTGACCCCGACGTGTCATGGGCACGTTGTGTGCGCTGGGGTAAATGTGAGTGGCAACACTGACAGTTGTGCGGCACCATGCCTGCGCGAGGACACAGGGCAGCAGAGACAGTTGTGCGGCGCCATGCGCCCGCAAGGACATGGGGCGGCAGAGGTAGGTGTGCGGCCCCACGCGCCTGCAAGGACAAAGGGCGGCGGAGACAGTTGTGCGGCACCATGCGCATGCAAGGGCATGGGGCAGCAGGGGCAGTTGTGCGGCACCATGTGCATTCGAGGACATGGGGCAGCACGTACCCGCGGCGGTGAGCTGCAATGATGCTAGCTGTTAATGAGTATAAACGCTGCGCTTTAATGCGACAAATACTACTCTGCCTTACTCAGGCTACGTGTGTGCGCACATGCATGTCTAGTATGTATGTACATGCTTGTGTGTACATGCTTGTGGTGTTGGTGGCGGTGGTGGTGCTACCATCCGTGACGAGTGTCTTTCGTCTAAAATACCGGTATGGTTTCCTCTGTGCGTGTGTGTGCGCGCGCGTGTGTGTGTGTATGTTTGTGTGTGTGTACATGTACAGACTGGAGATATCCAAACAGTGTGTTTGGTCGTAGCTGTGTGTGGTGGATTTGATGACTCTCCACCTGCAGACAGTCAGGCCAAGCAATGGCTGGATAAGTATGTTATTATATGCCAGTGCTCCTCCCCCCCCCCTCTCTCTCTCTCTCTCTCTCTCTCTCTCTCTCTCTGTCTCTCTCTCTCTCTCTCTCTCTCTCTCTCTCTCTCTCTCTCTCTCTCTCTCTCTCTCTCTCTCTCTCTCTCTCTCTCGCTCGCTCG